ATCATCCCGGGGAAGGATGAGATGAGGTAGGGAAAAAAAAAACCCAGGGGAGCCATCTCGAATGCAGTCGGGAGAAACAAAGATCTTATATACTGAAAGCCCCAAGTGGGAAGCCAGTCGAAATGGTGTGACTCACTGGAGCCGTAGGAGAAGAAATCCTTCAATAGGGTTTCCGCCGGGAAACCCAAAGGGATCCACCGACCCTCGGGATCCGCAACTCCACCCACTGGGCAGTCTAGAAGCAGACGTACCTAAAACCTTGCGGATGGCGCAACATGGGCTCATCGGCAGTCGGAATTACGTCGTGCTGACTGGTTTGGTCGGGACGAAAATCCTATCTGAGGATCAGTTGCCCAAATTTGGCGAGTCACCCAGTGGCAGCCGTTGTGGTTACCTTCAGGCATCTATGGATTGATCGAGGGGATTCAGGAAACCACGCCATCTGGCAAAATCTTTCCCTCGAATCACAACATCTGGCGTAAGGGGATGGGACATGGATCATAACAACTGAATCCTGATCTGTTGCTAGCTACGGAGTACTAGTTAGTATCTCATCAGGCAAACCGACTTCCCGAGGATGAGTTAGCCCTGCAAATTGGCAAGGATGGTGGATGCATGTACAGGGTCGATCAGGAGACAAAAAAAAATTATTATATTGAGTGGTCTGATTGAGAGATGTGACAATACGGTAATACTGTCAGACAAGACCTGTCTGGCTCTCACGGCAATTTTGGTGCGAATCTTCGGCACCGTCCGCTCCGGCCGAAAGTGTGACAAGCCCGTACAAGCTTTCAATACGGACTTCTTGTTCCAGGAAGAATCTTGGCAGATTCTTCATCCTTACCCAATATAATAAAACAGGATCAAATTATAACGGCTCCTCGGCAGGAATCGAACAGAAAGAAATGATATCATCGGTATAATTTTTCCATTCTAGCTTCCCTGAGAAGGTTCCGAGTTCCAAGTTTACAGCACACCGCACACTTACCAGACGACCTACAAAACACTATACTACCTTGGGGACAGGAGAAAGAACAGGAGTGGTCCCCTCCTATGACCAGTCAAAATCTGCTACCTACATCGTGCATATTGAAATCCATCTCGGCATGTATGCTGCAGTTTGACACCAATGCTAACCGACCGTATCTGCATGTCCACCCATACTTCTACAGTTGTCCACACATGCTTCAAATTGACATTCCACCCAGTAATATTATCATCGTCATTGACAGGCACCACTTAGGTGCCTGAAACACGCATGTTCCATTTACTGGTCTATGAGCACCGTGAAATTGAAGGGGGATGAGGCGAGGGCAAAGTCTAGAACGGTTATCATCGGCACCCTGGTTTGAGATGGGGCACACAAATCAAACCGGAGAAAGAATCAAAATAAAATAAAGCAAAAAAAAATAAAAAATAAAATGACGAAAACAACAACAAAAAAAGGAGAAAATAAAATAAAATAAAATAAAAATAAAAAAAGAGAAAAACCAGCCCGGCTCATTTTTCCCTGCAGCTTCAGTTCAAACTCCACCCAGTGGCGTGTTATTGGGGAAACATGGCCCAGTTTTGAATTATCTAGCGTCATGCAGGCCTGTCGTGGCATGGCTGCTGTGGCCGTTGAACGCTATCATCCACTGACACATGTTTGTTTGATGCGTAGTATATGTAGGTCAGCTATCTAGAGTAAGGTAGAGAGAGAGCTCTGTACTAGGTGCACCCTGTATAAACCCCATACAACTGTGTATACTCGTGCATGTATGCAGTCAAGACTCGGGTGAGATGGAGTGGCATGTCTGGTAGCTGTAGCTAAGTTTTTACGATCTTGTCAGATGACAGTCTGAATTATACAAGGTTAAAAGATTGAAAGAGAACTCGAAAGAATAGAACTGATTGGGTGGATATCGACACGGCATTGGTTTGATACCTTCTCTTTCGGCCATACCTGACTGTGGGAACCATGTCCCTCAGAGGTTTCCTTCTCTCGGACGATATACATTGTTAGGTCTGGTTGGACATATCACAACACCCGATTGCCGCGCATGGTCGATGGTCTCCAGCAGGACCGGCAAAAGTTGCCTACACTCACATCGAATCAATAGGATTCAAGAACCAGATTGGATAGTACTCCCACACTGGTCGGTGCCAGCACTCGAGGTCGGGAAGTAAGCTTCCAGTTACCGCATGCCTGCGCATTTACCACTCATTGGATGGGACAGACTTACTGATGACTACAACTACGTAGCTAGTCACTTACTTCGTGGCCGATTTTGCCTGTGCCCGCTGGGATTGAAACTGTGGCTCCGCGAATCAGTGCTTCTCGGGTTGTCGTGTTACCCGTGGCACGACAGCTTTCGGGCCCCAGAGAGCTGCAGATTGACAATTTGGGTAATTCTCGCTCTCGCTTTCTGTTTATTTGTGTCTGAGACTTGGGTTGAGTGGGTTGAAGATTGCCAGAGGCTAGAAAGGCTAGAAGGCTAATCGGATGCAAATATAGATTTCCTCAGGGTGAAGTGGAACCCTGCAACGTCACGCTAGTGGTCGATAGTAGCCCTAACTATTTGCACAACGGAGGGCAAGGGGGTTCAGACATGGTGACACTGACGATCCGTATAAACCCAAGAAGTCTAGACTGGCTGAGTAACTTCCCCCCGAGGACATGAAACAGGGTATGACGATGGGGGGGACGGAAATGAGAAACCACCGTTGGCTTAGTTAGCTACTTGTCGATCCCGCGACGGATGATCTCCAGCATCGCCGCCCCTTTCGGCGCCGTCGTCAAGTTCTCGTACCCGGTGCCTGTCACCAGGATGTCGTCTTCGATCCGCACCCCTCCCACACTGATGTACTTGGCGGCTTCCGCGAAGTCGATGTACTGGCCCAGGGGCTGTTTCCGGGCGTTGGCGAGCGCAAGCTCCGAGAAGTAAATCCCCGGCTCGACCGTCACCACCATGCCCTCTTCCAATAGCGGCACGGACAGTGCGCTCGAGGGGTGGCTCGCGGCGGGGATGAATTCCCAATGGTGGCGCCTAGGGCTTCGCTGCACGGCGGTGATGGGCTGCTCGGACACGTCGTGCACCTCGAGCCCAACGTGGTGGCCGAGTCCGTGGGGGAAGAAGACGGACGATGCGCCCGACTGGCGGATCTCATCTACGGCTCCGTTCCTCAGAACGCCCAGTCCCTGCAAGCCCTTGATGGCAATCACATGTGCGAATTCCTGGATGTCGCGGAACCGCGCGCCCTTCCTCACGGCTTTGATACATTCCTCCTGCATCTCCTCTACGATGTGGTATATATCTCTGGCGTTCTGGCTGGGCCAATCGCCGCCCAGCGGAAACGTCCGCGTCACGTCGCTGGCGTAGCAGTTCCATTCGGCGCCCGCGTCGAGGCAGACCAGCTGCCTCCCTGCGAGGGACTCGTTGTTCTTCACGTAGTGAAGGGTGGCTGCGTTGGGGCCCGATGCCGCGATGATGGCATACGCTTGGTTTTTAGCGCCGTTGGAGACGCAGGTGTCTAAGAACGACCCTTCGATCTGTGTCTCGTTGCTCATTTGGAGGATATTCTCCAGAACCCTCCGGTGAGCCAGGCCCGAGACCTCATTCGCGCGGCGGATCATGCGAATCTCGTACTCGTCCTTGATCACCCGCGCGGCGTCCATGGCCGGCAGCAGCCGCCTGTCATCCACGTAGAGGCCCGTCCCGGGTATTGTTGGTACCTGGGTGTCGTGGAGAGCGTAGATTGGAGCGGCCCGATTATACCTGTTGACCCACGACACCAGATCCGGCTGCAGAGAAGCCTGATAGCAGGCGCGGTCCACGTCAAATCGGTCGAGGGCGTCCTCGACGGTCAGGGTCGGCCCCATCCATATCGCGCGGTGCAGGTCAAAGTCCGGGACGTAGAGGGTCAGGAGATCGTTCTGGATATCGTAGGTTAGGTAGCAATCTGGCTCATCGGCGCCGCAGAGGTAGTAGAAGTAGCGTCGTTGGCGGAAGGGCTGCGGTTGGTCTGAATCGTCCAGGTTGATTGTCGGCTGGCCGACGAGGTAGATCAACCCCGCGGTCGCCCCCAACTTCGAAGCGACTTTGCGCGCATGTTGTTTGGCTTAGGGGGTTGGTTGTTAGTGGACATGGATTGTATAACCGAAAAAGGTCGGCTCTGGCACACCTGGATATTTATCACAGCCATTGCCGGTCACGGTGAGACGAATGTCACAGGTATCTGTGAAACGGATGGCCACATCAGACGAGCCCACGGCGCGCATTCTGAATGAATAGTCGCTGTATATACAGAGAGATGGGTATATATATCAGTAGAAGCGATAAATAGAAATATCAGGACCGTAAACAACCAAGAAAGAAAGGTCGCTAGGCAAGGGATGAAGCTATTGACAAGAGTGTGTATAGGTAAACAAGGCGATTGGGGAACACGGTAAGTTACCAGCTGTAACCGCCCGTAACTGACTAAACCACAAGACTCCAACGGTGGTGGCGTTTCTATGATATCAATACGAGAGATGCCTGGTATTATAGGCTGTCAATGTGACCTCCCAAAAGATAGTATTCGAATATCAGAAGATTCTTTGGGATTAATTCGTTTTCCCCTATAGTTCCTTGCCTATAATGATTGACCTATTGATATAACATCCATATTGATCAAGGCATGTGCCACTATCGCAACGAAGCGTCATCGGCAGTCTTGGCCCCACATGATGGCTCTCTGACCGTCTTACCGTCCGTACGTTCAATACAGACTCAGCCTCCAAACTGACTAAGTTTCTCGAAACTCTCTGACGCCTCCTCTTGTCTTTCTCTCTCTCATTTCTCTTCTCTCGCCCAACCGGTATCTCCCTCATACTTTCCATCCAATTTAACCTCATCCCTCCCACTCCGTTTCCCCGTTGAGGTGTTCCTGTATTTCTGGATCCCCCCCCCGCCTTTCTCTCTCCCGCTTCGTACTCGGTCAATCCCGTCCCATCCGTATCGACGTCAGGTCAATGAACGATGCGGGGACCTGAGGCATCGGGGCCTGGGGCTCTGATGGGCGCTCCGTCAACCCTCACCACCTCCGTCCGATCGACTATCTCCTCCATCCATCCCACAGCCGATCCCGAAGTGGTCGCGTCCAATATTCAAAATGTCCTGCTGTCCGTGTCCTCGAATTCGAATGGCGGTCCCGTCGCCGTCACTGGCACCCCATCCGGGTCAACCGGGAAGGGTATCTTGATCGGCGTCCTATCCGCCTTTGGATCCGCCCTCGTTGCGGTATTGGTGCTGGCCATCTTCTTCTTCTTCAAGTACACGCAGCGCGGCCGCATCTTCCTCGACAGTATCGGCCGCCCCGGTGAATATGATGATGAACAGGCGTTTGCGCGCGAGGAGGAGGAGGCTCTGGAAGCCATGGACGATCTGTCGCGGTCGGAATATTTGAGGGCGAAAGGTGAGTGCAGCCCGCTGGGTTCCTATTGGGTTTGTCGGGTCCGATTCTGGGTGCAGGTCGCTGACAATTCTCTGCAATGGTAGCCTTTACCGAAGCCTATCCCCCCGAGTCCGTGCAGACCGACATTTCGCTTTCGCAGTTCCTTGCGATTCAAGAAAAAGGTGTATCCGCCTGGGAATTCCAACCGGAGTTGGAGATCGCCAATTGTTTCGTCGAAGCCCGCACCGAAGTCGAGTTCTTCGACTCGGAGTGTAGCGTCCAGACCAACCTTCCGGTTCCGAAGCAGAATGATGTCTACTACTGGGAGGCGAAGATCTTTGATAAGCCGGACAGCACCCTTATCAGTATCGGCATGACCACCAAACCGTATCCTTTGTTTAGATTACCAGGTTTGTACCCGCGCATCGGTTTGTGGCAGATCACTACTTACACGACCGATTCTAGGCTTCCACAAATCCTCCGTGGCATATCAGTCAACGGGACACCGACGCTATAACCAGCCCTTCACCCCAACCCCGTATGGCCCTCAGCTACTCCAAGGCGATGTAGTTGGCGTGGGATACCGGCCCCGTTCGGGAACCATCTTCTTCACTCGCAACGGGAAGAAGCTGGAAGAGGTGGTTCATGGTCAGAAAGCGCAGAACTACTTCCCTACGATTGGGGCGAATGGGCCCTGTGCGGTCCATGTGAACTTCGGCCAGATGGGATTTGTGTTCATCGAAGGGAACGTGAAAAAGTGGGGCCTTGCTCCGATGACAGGAAGCCTGGCTCCTCCGCCACCGTACGGCAGTGAGCAGGGCAGCATCCTGCTTGAGTCTGGTCGAGAAAGCGCCGCGCAAATCTCCCAGCGAGTATATCAGAACGCCAACTACGCGCGCACCAACTCGACCGTCCGGATACCCCCCTCGCACAGTCCCGGTCCCGTGCGTTCTCCCACCGACATCTCCCTTACTCAACTGGCCCATGTCCCCTCCAATGAGGATGTTGGCGAAGGCTCGAGTCGTACTGGCGAAGACGAAGACCACCAGCACCCACCACTGGACCCAGACGATATCGACCAAATCCCACCACCCGAGTATTCAAGCCCCGACGGCAGTCTGCGGGGCAGCCATGACGAGGAGCACCCGCCAATACCCAGCTATGATGCGGCGGTTGGCAATCACCACGACCATACCCGGTAGCTGGTTTTATCTGTTGCATTCATTTCTTTTCCTTTTCGGGTGTCATTGGCGGGTTCCTGCAATGCGTATACGACATTTCAGGCCAATTCAATCCCCAGGCGTTATCATTTCCCGGTTATCGATTTTAGCGGCCACGGTTTCTGGCGTTTTTTTACGGGAAGGACGGGTGGGTGTCCTCTGGTGGGATCGATCATGCGGGACAGTGCTACCCGGATTGTGGTAATACGGGTTTTCTCTTTTCAACGTATATATGGAGTGGTACTTTCATGTCTTGCTTTGCTTGGTGGGTGTTATGTATTGTTCGGGATGGGTTGGGTTTGCTTTATCTTGTCGAAGGGTTCAAAGGGACAGACAGACAGGACAGGAAGTTAGTGTGTGGAGTTGCAATTCAACGTAATTCCCCGCTAGCTGTCACGAGTATCTCCTTTCTTACCTTAGTATTTGTGCTCGATTCTCGGCCTTCCAGTAGAACATTGGTGGCTACGTATATTTCCTGTCCTGATTCTTTATTGGGATGCTCTAACACAGTATCTCTACAATGCCAACGCAGACACAGCCTCTGCATCAAGCTTGATACAGTACATCTCAAGCCAAGATAATGAATAGGACCCCCTCACAGGCCGACCCAACCCCAACTAGTATAACCAAGTCACGACTCCAAACCAAACAATCTCGCAAACTCCCCATCCGCCTTACGCAGTAACTCCCGCGGAGACCCGACTTCGATCACCCGGCCACTATCCAAGACAGCAACTTGGTCAAAGTCGAGTAGACTGCGGATTCGATGGGCTACCATGATCACGGTGCAGTTGGGGAAGGATTCCCTTATGACTCTTTGTACTTTGGTGTCTGCTTCTGGGTCGAGACTATACGTTACACGTGGTGTTAGGTCTCTTGTAGCGATCACGAAAGACAAAACCGAGGGAATATAAATGGGATAAACGTACCTGCTCGTCGGCTCATCCAGTATCAAGATCTTGCTCCGTTTCAGCAAAGCGCGCGCCAGACAGAATAGCTGCTTCTGGCCCTGTGACAGAATGCTGTTGTCTAGGATTGAATCCAGGATCTTTTCTTCCTCTTCCGTGCTATCACTACCACAGCCCGCCGCAACAGAATCCCAAACCCCGACAGATTGCAATGCGTCGATTATCCGCGCGCTCGAAACTGCGTTCAGCGGATCGGCGTTCTGTCTGACGGTGCCGGGGAAAAGGAAGGGCTCTTGGCTGAGACAGCTGATATGCTGGCGGATGGATGAGCGGGATAGGAGGGAGATGTCTTGGCCGTCGATGAGGATTTGTCCGGAGGTTATCTCGTTGAGGCGGAGGAGGGAGAGTGCTAGTGTGCTTTTGCCACTATTTTGTAGCGAGCAAGCAATTTGATTAGCCCTGTCTGCGAAGCCAAAAGACGAGTCGATGAGAGGTAAGTAAGATTCACCTTCCTGTCCTCCCACACAGGCCAAACTTCTTCCCCGCAGGGATCCGGAGATTAATGCCGTTGAGTAAAGGCTTTGTCTCAGAGAGGGTCCAAGAAACACTCGCACTCACAAACGCGACCTCCCCCTCAGTCAGCCACTCCGGGACTTCGCTCTGAGCCTGAACGACGGCATTGCTCTCCTCACGACATGTCCCCTCAGCAAACTCCTTAATCCGCGAAACAGCCCCCAACGATGTCTCCAACAACGTCCAGTTCTGAATCAGCTCCGACAGAACAAGGCCCAGGTCCATCATCATGACGAGGGCGATGCCTAAAAGGCCCGCGTCAACACGCGTGCGGAGCGCGAAAGCGATGCCGACGAGAAGTACTGTTGTAGCGGCTACGATCAGATTCAGCACGAGGCTCAGCCAGCGTTGGATGCATAGGAGGAGGTAGTAGGGTCTTTGGGCGGTGTCCAGCTTGGAGATCATTCGAGATGTGGCGGCTTGGGTCCAGGAAAAGGCGCGGATGGTGATGAGCCCTGATAGGGACTCGATGAAGTGAGTGTAGAGGGGACTTTTGAGCTCAATTCTGAGGGTGGTGTGGATTAGCCCTAGCTCCGTGAGTGCAAAAATAAAGTCTCGGGGCAGACCAAGGTGGAAAGGTATAGGAAGTTAAAGACGCACTCTAATAGTCGCAGTTGGCGAGATGTCCTTAGATAAAACCGTTGGATCAGAACCAGGACTCCAAGGAGAAGCGGCAGAGCTGCTGCCAAGTAGGGCAGCGAAGCTATCGCAGTGGCGCCTTGGGCTATGGCTCCAAAGAACACTAAAGTCGTTCAAGTTAGACTATCGACCAAGCATCCATCTAGTAGTTACTTACAGAATCCCGTAGATATAAACCCTCGAGGTAGGATCATGTCGACCAGCCTCATGTCCTGGCTAAAGCGGGTTACCAGTACTCCGGTGTCAACTTTCGACAAGAAGGACAATGGAGCGCTGTAGTTGTTAGCCATTTACCAAGACGGGTGTCAATTGCAGTAAACTCACCCCATGCAGGCGTGCAGCACAACAGAATGAAGGTTTTTAGAAGCCGCGGGGACGATGATGACCCAGGTCCAGCTAGTATCAGACCAGAGATGTCAGTCAAGGCATTGGATCAAGGGCCATTGTTCAGGAGCTTACAATACGGCAAGTGCCAGAGAAAGGGCTTGAATGACGGAGAATGCTCCATATAGTCCAAGCCAATAGCCTAGGCGGGAGGCTGTAGCGTTGTCGCTGCTGGAGGACCAAAGGTCGACCCATACGTCTACGGAAAGTGAGCCATACGCTCTCGCCAATAACTCATTGAGAATATATTTGCGACTTACAGCGGAATGCGTTGATACCGGCGTCGGTCATCAGGAAGAGAAGCAAGGCGGCGATTCTGAACCATCCCAGCGCAGAGAAATAGTACTTGTATACAGCAAGGTCGGTCGTCTGCCGATGGACACCTGGGGAAGGAGCACTGATAGACTCTGTAGTGTCGTTTGAAGGGTTCTCTAGGTCATCAATTTGCTCCGTTTTAGCTGTTGGCGTGAGTTTGATTCCATGCCTCTCAGTGAGGTTGTGCGCGTGGTCTCGAAGTTCGGTATAGCTGCATTGCTTGATGACTTGGCCATTTTCCCCGAGGACCATGATCAGGTCGGCTTGAGGCAAGTGATGGACTGGACATCATCAGTGTGAGATTTAACTGTTGATCAATCAAGCGAACACATACTGGTATGAGTTGACAAGAACACCGTACATCCCAGCCGACGTAACAGTCCAGCCGGACCAAAGACATTATCAAAAACATGCCGGGCAGTTGCATTGTCAAGACCACTGAGAACATCATCGAAGCAAGCGATTCGTCTACGAGCATAGACGGCTCTGGCGATAGCCTATACAAGCGAAACCCGTTAGTGTTTTACCAACACACAAAGGAAGCAAGGCAGCCAACAATTCTCTGACGTTGTCCTCCGCTAAGTTTAGACCCTTTACTACCCACGGATGTCTTGTCGCCTGCTGGCATTCTCTTGAGGTCCACATCTAGCGCACATGCGCGCACAACTGTATGATACCAGTCTGGATCAAACGTGGATAGGTCTTCGCCCGCAATATTCTTCTGTATTGATGCATTGGATAGCCATGGAGTTTCATCACAAAATGCCAGATCCGGGTACTTGATAAAAAGCTCACCTTCCAACACTGGTGTTTCACCTGCGAGGCCCTTCAGAACGGTAGATTTACCGCAGCCTACTGGACCGACGAGGATAATGACAGTACCGGTGGGTGAGGACTCGAGCTCAAGTGTGATACCGAGTGTCTCTGATGAAGAGGGAGATTTCCAGCCAAATCGAACATTTTGGAGTGAGAGAACCACTTCTTTCTGCGTTTGGGAACTTTTTAGAAGCGGGCATAGCTCTATGCCGGCAATGCTATCTGTCGGTGTTGGGTGAGATGATACTGGCTGAGAAAGCTGTCTCCTATCTGTGTACAACGATTGTTCTATCAGCCCTCACTGGGAGATGGATTGAATGATTCGGGATCTAGGTATAGTGAAACGCGCTGCAAAAGATCATATAAAGAGAGATGGGTACATACCAAGACGGCTTGGATTCATGAGGAAGTCCTGTATCCTATTAAGGCAGCCTATCGATGCATATGTGTCGGGAATTGCCATCAAAAGGTAACTCAGCGGAGTAATCATCAAGCTTATAAGCGACAATGACATGATAGTTTTGCCGACGGCAAGACCTCCGGAGCCCTGTAGCAATGCTAAGATCGCATAGGCAGCGAGAGTCACAAGTTGTCCCACAATCATAGGAGAATTGACTAGGTCGGTGTCAGTTCATAGTGAGCCTGGTAACACAGTATGGTTGAGTTGAGATAGGAATTAAAGCACGCACCCATGCATACGCGGATTGACTGGAGCTTGCGGAATTTTTTAGAAATCTCAAGCTCTTCCGTGCGCAATCCTTCAACCATAGAGCTCATTACCTCGGTCAACCCGAGAACTTTGACGTTGCGAATCGAGCCTAGGATGGAAGTCGTAAAGTTGATACGCTTCTCGGTAGCCTGAAGCCAACTTTTTTGTCTAGCGGAAACGGCATTGCCCATGGCAAACGAGAAGCCTGTGAAGACTAGACTGGCACTGTTAGACAATGAACACCGTAAGGCCATCAATGATTGGGGAGAAGGGCAGACTAACTTATCACCACTAGAATAGGAGCGATACAGACAACGCCGACTTGGGTTTGTAGCAACCAGGTAGCCAGTGTCAATTGGAGTACATTAGCCCAAGTCTCGCAGACTACCGAATAGAAATATTCAGCAACCATTTCTATGTCAGCGCCTAGAAGGGCCATAGCACTAGATTCGTCATTGCTTCCCAGTGGCAGATCCATCATATGCTGGAAGACAAGGGCCATCAGACCACCACGAAGCATGGTTGTGGCACGATATCCTAGGTGTTCGTAAGAGGCTCGCGAGACCTAGACCAGAATGTCAATTTTACTCTTCACGCTGCGAATACACATCAAGGAGCTTACAGCGATCCCGGTAAAGACAATTGCGGTTGCTGCAATCAAGGCGTAGCCCATTTCTTGCGACAACGGGCTGGTCTGCTGTAAGACGGTGACAACTCTCCCAATTAAAAAGGGCTGCGCGATGCTAAATCCCACGACACAAAGCCGTGGGAGGGCGATCGTCGCGATTTCCCATCGCAGACACTTGATCACCGCCACGAGCAACGCGTTCTGCCCCTTCTGCGGGTGGCGAGTCCACGAGTCTGCGAACCGAGTCGACAACTCTGAAGACAAGAGCTTTCTATGAACAGTAGGCAGAGCATCTCCGGTCAGTAACACGGAGTGCCCTTTCCACAACAGGCCATTCAACCAAGTAAATAAGCCTCGACTAAAAGGTCCGCTCACGCTTTCGGTGGAGTGGTCCTTTTCCGTGTGCAGAAACCATTTCCGTTTTTCGGTATTAGTGAGTATCAAGAGAAGGAGTTTAACGGCTAGAGACGCGGAGAGGCAAGCTGGGTAGCCCTGATAGCCGGCTAGCAGCCAGGAGGTACGCACGCGCGCAAGATCCAGAAGCAGCGTGACAAACAGGTAAGCAGAGGCAAGGAATGATGGTCGGATGGACCGGAAATGCTCCATGTCAACTAGTACTATAACGACTAGCGCTGATATAAGATCCAAAATGGCACTCGCAAGTAAGATGCGCCCTCCGGCAAGGTGCTGCATCGCAACAAGTACTAGAAGTCCAACCTGAATGGCTGCAAAGGTTACAGAGACAGCCTGCATGAGAACAATACTTAGCGGTAGGTCCTTTTCATGAGAGCCGAACGCCAGATAGACGTAAGGATACTAACTAATGTTATCACACGATATGCGGAAGAGAACACCTTGGGCGCCTGCCTAGACAGCCGAAACAGGCGAAAGGTTGCCGGCAAAAGGAAGCAAGCCGCTGGTAATATGTTCAAGATGCCGGATTCGAAAGCCACCGTGAAGTCGAAGCCCCCACGACAATCCGCCGTAGAAACAATGGCACCAAACTGGCTATCGCCGCATGCGCCGGTTGGCGGGGTTGATACTGATGCCATGGTAGAACTGGCTCGAGGCCAAGAAGAGGTATCTGGATGTTGGCCCTGAGGGACATCGGCTCTCGAAGCGCTGGTAATCAAAGACCATGCACAGAGGGGAAGTAAGCACCAAGAGTAGATGATATAAAAGTGTAGCCTAAGCCTGGCCGGGCTAATCACGCAAGCTTAGCACCAAACAACTTCTTTGTCTTGTAAAATCTACTAGCCCAGGTCTGACTAGCTGATATTATAGCACAATTTCCAGTCACACTCTACTGACCCATATATGCCAAGATCACAATCATTGCTTGTTGGCAAGGAATGAGCTTCGCCCCCGGAGATCCACCAGCGCCTTGACAGCCAATCATTAGTAGGACCCTGGTTGTTTTAGCGAGGTTACATCCAACAACTCCAATGATAAGGCGACAGAGACTGGCATTCTACATCTCAGTGGTGTAATTGTGGGCTTGACATTTTGATAGATCTGGCTGATGTAGTGCATGAGACCACAACGACAAGAGATCTCGAAGGCAATCAAAAAAATAAACCCGAAAGAACAGCAGTCGAAATAGAAAGTGCGGGAATGGATCGAACAGATAGCAGCTCTCGGATGGACATGTTGAACGTCGTCTTACCCAAGGTAACTTGAACTAGATTCAATACTAGAATCATCCTACCGTCTCTGCCAGTGGCATGTACTACTCGAAGCATATTCTATAGCAGCGCCTGCACCGAAACCTCGATTAACCCCACAAAATACGAATCGCGATCACAAGGTATGGCCCGTTCCGCATCTGGCGAAAGACTCAGCCGGAATGGAAGTCGAGAAGTTGGTTTTGATGTGTTTGTTATAGGAGGCCTTGTCACCCTCGAATAATGTTATAGGGAACGAGTGGGTTAAGTCATGGGGACCATCACGCCCATTGAACTGAGTAAATCTATATAGCATCTTACCACTCCACCCGAAAGGATGTTCAGCTTCGTAAACTAGGCCTCATCGCTCTCGTCTCCCTGAGCAGGGGGGTGAACAAAGAGCAGGCCCAGCAAGCACAACACGAACGACCCTGCCAGACCATAATACGGCAGGCCCAGCGCTGTGCCTCCTAGTTTCATCCCAGTCTCAAACAACCACGCAAATGCTGGCCCAGCATACAGAGACCCAGTCGTCTGAACTATACCGATGGCCGTATTCAATTTCGCCGTGTCCTGTGGTGCCACGTAGCTCGTTGCTAGCGAGCGACACAGCGGAGCTAGACCGGACCCGAGGCTGTGAATCGCTAGCCCAGCGATCACCAATTCTATCTCCGACGCCGCCATGCAGAGTGCTCCGACGGCGGCGATAGCGACAGATGCACGGGCGAGTGTCAAGTCCTTGACTGGTGAGGGCTGGTACCGCAAGAGGATCTTGGAGAGAAGAGGAAGGGTGACGAGTAGGACTACCATGTGGAGGACCCCGCGGAGGGTCAACAGATACCCCGTGCTGGCGAGAGGCCAGTCAAAACGCTTGCTGATGTATTGTGCCAGAAACTGGGATGTACCGAGGACCTCCGGGGCGACTGTGAGAAAGGTGGCCAGGACGATAACCAGAGAAGAAGACTTCAGCGATGCGATGGAAGAGCCGAGTTGGAGAAGAGAAAGGGGTGATCGGAAGTCACGAGGCTCCTCTTCCGACTCTTGCTCGGAGAGGGAGTCATGCTTTGATGGTGACAATGTCTCGGGTACGAAGAAGAGCGGGATTAGAGCAACCAGGCTGACGATGAAGGCGATGAAGGCTGAAATCCAAGGTGAAAATGCTTCCATGAAGATGGAGGAAAAGGCTGGCCCGACAGAGGCACCGACTAGACTGGCGAATGCCATGAGGAAGAATGTGGACGCTCTGTTGTATATGTTAGACTTCACATGATTCATTGAGGTGGGTGACTATGAGAGCATACCGGTCTGATGGAACCACCAAATCCGATGCAATCGAGTACAGATTCGCGAGGAGCACGGTGTTTCCACCCCCGACGACAGCAAACAACGGACCAGCCAGGATGAACTCGACCCGGATAATCCTCGGCATAGCGATTACAGCTAATTCCCAGGCCAAGGATAGTAAGGTCCCAGCCATTGATAGAATGATAATGGGTTTCCGACCGACCCTGTGGATGATCTCAGTTTCGATTCCTCTTCGTCTTGAGGGTAACTCAAAGATCGCCTCACCTATCAGCCAAAATTCCAAATGGAAAGGCCACAACAAGTCCTAGAGGAGCCAATCAGCACCGGACACTTGAAGCAAAGGTAAACCATCACCCATCTAGTACGTACCAACCACGGCCTCTACAAGAGGGAGGCAGCCATTAAGGTAAGCCAATCTGGACTGGATCTTTTCAGTCTTGCAAAGCTCTTCAGTCGGGGCACCTTGTCGAACATATCGACTGCAAAGGTTGTCTTCGATGAGTCGCGTTAGGGGTACATTGAGACAAGCCCCCGCGGCGGACAGACAGAAGACAACAGCAGACAACCAGTAGATTGATAGCCACCTCGTGGCTTTCTGCTGTCTACCAAGTAGTGGTGTGGTCTCGTCAAGCATCGCTACTAGGTGGGTAGTCGTGGTAGAGAATGACAAGAGGTGAGAGAGGGGAAATATTGACGAGTCGTGCTAAACCAAAGGGCGCTACTCCAAGGTAGCCAACATTTTACTGCAACCCTGATTGGAAATCCCATGTGTACCCGCTATTGATAAGATTAACTTCGGTCCAAGTCTAGGGTTTATGGTATATGTATAAATCCCGGTAAGGTATTTCGTTGATCAGAATAGAGCTTCTGCGCAGATAGTATGTTCGTTCGAGAGGGAGTGGTTGACCGTTGAATATGGCATTACTCTCGTATCCAATGGAGTAATTCCAGATAGTGTCGCAAAGCCAGGTAAGACCCATCCATTCTCTGATAACACATCAACAGGACTGTAAATTTCCAGTGTTATGTTGGCTTGTCAAGTTCGATAGTCTGTTGGGTCGGTCTTCTCTTCAGCTTTGCTGCATCAGTTTATTCACACCCGGTGATGTCAAGGTGAAGTCCGGGGATTTTCCACCAGGATAAATCCCATCACTATCTGGCAGAGACGTAGGGTGCTGGTCGTCGACTCCATCCTGTCGCAGGTCCGAGCATCAACCTTGGTCGTGCTTATCTCGGGGGGTTCAATACCTGGCACGAAATGCCATCATACCTGCCAGTTAGTGCTTACCCCGTGTGACAGGGGTGTTCTCTTTATTTCCTAAGCGACGACATCAACTAGTTTGTGGCCATAACAAAGGACGGAGACGGTTGTGTAAATTTGATATCCGGGTGGATCGGAGATATATACCAAGGCGGATCACGGGACTCGATCGCTTTGATGAACATCTTTTGGGGATAATTATAGACAATGTTAACTAGATTCAATCAGCATCCGGTGGAGCAACTGCACCTCATTCTCCCCTCTTTCACCAATAAGATCCAGTCCATGCTGCAAATTAGACTTGATCGTTGGACAAGAAACAAGAAGAACGATTGATCTACAGTGCTCCGTGCACCTCTAGGAAGAGAGCGTTCAATTAATTAGGTTTGTGTCTTCCTCTCATGTGCCCCCCCTTCATCCATCCAGGTTATTCCTTATATTATGGACTACACCCTCTTCAATTTCCTTTCGCATGTCTGATTTCCTCTTTCTCTTCATTTATTTTCCCCTCTGTCACCTTTGGCCCCTTAACTGACCCCTGTGGAAGCCCACCACTCTTCGACCAGCCACTCCTACTCCGTCTCCGCCACGGACATCCCCGGAAGTCTCCCCCACACAGATCGACTGTCTTGAACGGAATTCGATGATCTAAGATCGGATTGATTACCATTGGCCTTGTCTCATCCCCACACTCTCGTACGCTCAAAATCGTGGCTTTCGCCCCCTCTCCGACCGGACCATCTCCCAGCCACCGACCGCAGCCGTACAGCGGCCGCTTAGTTGTCAGTCGTCGAATGCGGAAGTGTCTTCCCCTACCTCTCTCATTGGTACGCGCCCGAGCGAGGTGCAGCTCGACTTGTGTGACAGAAGTCTGCTTAGAAGACGTCGATTCTAATTACTTTGGACCAACGATTCGTCATTCGACCGGTCCTATTGCGCGTGGGCGGCGTCGCTAGTTCCCTGGAAGGCTGGTCATATTTTCAATCCGTCCCCGACCACCCAGATCGGTGCTTTGGATCATAGTTTGAATCCCAGCTGGTCCTTAACCTTGGGTTGATGGTGAACACCATCCCCCGTAGTTGATTCGAGTGCGACCATTTCCCATTCCCTCCTACCTATCGACTTACCTCCGACAAGCGCCGGGGGTTCGGTCATACCCTGCGACTGTGCCTTCCTGTCTGACAGGGTTTACAGCCCGTTCACGCACTTGCCGATTTCTCTCATTTTGAACCACCTTCCTGGCCAATATTGACCCGTCCGTGTGACTTCACAACGCTTGACACGACCTTTGCACCTTCTAGAATCGCAGGCAATGCGGTATCCGCTCGTCGTTTTGGTGGAAGCCGCGAGCAGCGCGTCGCCGAACTATAAAAGCATAAAGCGGTCGGTCGCTTTCTGATTCTCGATTATTTCTTTGGTGGTCACCACAGCTTGACTTCTAGAGTACACCACTCGACAGGGTAAAAAACAAGAACAATCACATAATAACCGACATAATTCACAGCGCTACAAACCTCCAGCAAATAGCTATCCGGGGAAGGCTCGGGAAAGGCGCTCTCGTCTGTGGTTCGCCGTACAGTCTACAGACCGCTAAACGGATGCGATAGGCCTATCGGAAAATGCATCCGAAGTCATCTCGTCATGGAGGAGTGGGGGCACACAATGCAGCGATGCAGGTCATTGTCTTGGTAAGTTTGTGGCCGTGTTCTATTATATACCTGCATGTCTCATTCTTTCTATGGCATTGTTCTTGGCGCCACTTTGGGTGTCACGCGTCCGCCCTGAATGACGCCGAACACTCCTCCATTTCTGAAGCCTAGTGAATTATCGATTCTCCAAGGCGATGGCTGACCTTATTAAACCAAGGGCCCAACTGGAGGTCCCCGTGAGGACAGGATCACTTCGTTGCTCGTCCGATCCACATCCACCGATTGGTCGTCCGGCTCGGTGATCTCGGTCGATGCAGGTACCCTCCTTTGTGGAATCATCCACGCGTTGGAGTTGAAAGACAAGGGGCCGTTTGCGGAACTTCCCTTGCCCAATAAAACTGCCCGGGCCAACGCCGTGCACATCGTCCGAGAGATCATCGGCGCGGTCCTCATCACCCACCCTCACCTCGATCATCTGTCGGGGTTCTTCGTCAGCACACCGGCTCTCGAGGCAGGAAGCGAGCCCAAGCCTTTGGCGGGACTCCCCTCGGTGATTGCCGCCATCAAAACTCATCTTTTTAATGATGTTATTTGGCCCAACCTCTCCGACGAAGACGGAGGAGCCGGGCTCGTCACCTATCAGCGTTTGATTGAAGGTGGCAATCCCCGCATGGGTCGTGGGCATGAGTTGGGCTACTATCGGGCCTGCAACGGGCTGCTCGTAAAATGCCTAGGCATCAGCCATGGAAAGTGTATGAGGCGGCACCCGCCGGATTCCACTAATCCTAGCCAGTCTAATCGTGTGAATTATGCGCCTGTCCCCGGTGAGATGGGAGACGCAGGGTGAGCGACTTCCCACCATTAAGATCCCCTCGGGGAGATCAATTGCTAACACGTCGATCTAGGACGCTGTCTGGGATGTCCCCATCATTTAGCACGGAAACGCATACGACGATCGACAGCTCCGCATTCTTCATCCGCGATCATGCCACGGGCCGGGAGATTTTAATCTTTGGTGACGTCGAGCCTGATTCACTGTCACTCAACCCGCGCAACAAGCATGTATGGTACACAGCCGCACCCAAGATCGTGAATTCTGATTTACGCGCAATCTTCATCGAATGTTCCTACAACGATGGCACGGAGGACTGCGTGCTGTACGGGCACCTTTGTCCACGGCACCTGATCAAGGAACTGCTCGTGTTAGCGCACCGGGTCTTCGCACTCCGAAATCCAGAACAGATCCCCGGAGACAAACGTAAACGACCAAGCACGCCCGACGTGGCGGGATCTCGGGCGTTTGGCAAGCGAGCGAAGAGTGACGCACAGCATAGTCTGCAAGGTCACTCGGCGAACCTAGTAACTCGCACAAGAAGTTCAAGCAGACGTCCATCGAGTGGGATGGGTCTGGACAGCTTGGAAATCAGTGGCAATGATCCATCGACGGACAACTTGACAGAGATTCCCTGGCAGTCAGAAGATCCGCCCCTCTCTGGTCTGCATGTATGGATCATGCACATCAAAGATGATATGACGGATGGACCGCCCCCAGGAGACCGAATTCTGCGAGAGCTCCGTGGGCAAGCGGACCAGGTCAGCCTGGGGTGCAATTTTCGGATTCCGGACCGTGGAGAAAATATCTGGCTATAGGTGACTGCCACGGGAGGCGACAGACATGCCTTGACACATGATTCAGTCGCTGATCATATTCTCGGGCCGGGTGTGTTTATTTTGTTCTACCGACTGGACTCAAAAGCCCTTCCTCTCTTACGCACCACACTATTCAAACCAAAACTCCCTATCGATACTCTCACCCTCACCGCATTTGCATACATGTATCACCATAGAGGGAGAGGGGGATTTCACTCAAACATACATAACACACATACATAGTCATTGTTAGCTAGGGTTGCACACTGCTATTGTTCTTACATTCTCTGGTTGACTGCTGCAGGGCAGCTAGCTGTATTGATAGACTGGACATGACAAGACAAGGTTTATGAATCACGTTCTGCATGTGTTTAATCCACTGAATATGAATTTTGGGAAGAATGAATGCTGTTCGATTATTGTAGTGATTGAACGAATGAGGAAGAAGTGGAGAAAGCAGTCACTAAAAATATAAACAACAGACCAAGTCATTTCTTTACTGGACTATACTAGATTGACATTATGCTCCCATTCCCGTCGGGAAAGTATATACTTATCTCAGCTCCAGCAAGTTAGTACCTACTCGTTCGTCTTCTCAGCCGCCTTGCCGATGACATCCTCCCACAGGGAGTTATCACCGCTGGGAATCTGCAAGCCGGAAGTAGAAGCATCAGCCGCAGAGGGGCGGTTCTCAGGGAGATCCAGAATAGGCAGGCCGTCACGGGCGAAAGCGAAGAGGTCCTCCTCGGTACCCCACTCGCCCATAGCCATGAGGCCGACAGGGACGCGCGCGCCACTGTCAGCATGGCGGACGTAGCCGGCGGGGCAGTTGATAGCGGGGCAGCCGGTGAAGTTGGCGAGCCAGACGTACTCCATGTTGCGGACGGAGGACTTGCCGTCTGAGAGGCCGCGGGAGAGGTCCGCGGGGCTGCCGATCTTCCAGCCTGGGATGGGGGTGCTGGGGGTGAGGATGAGGAGGCCGGGGTGAGTGCGGAAGAGGTAGGCGAGGTGGGCCATGAGGAGGCTGCGGAGGCGCTGGGAGGCGTTGAAGTCTTGGCCCGTGATCTGCCACATGCCCATGGAGACGAGGACCTTGTTGGGGGCTGTGATTTGGCTGATTTGGGAGGGGGAGAGCCCTGAGGCGATCTCCGTCATGATGGTGAGGACGTGTGCGCGCTGGCCTTCGGGGAGGTAGGGGATGCTGATGTCGATGATGGTGTAGCCTTGTTTGCGGTAGAGGTCGAGGGCTCGGTCGAAGATGGCTCGGACGGGGGGCTCGGCGCGGTCGATCCAGTCTTTGACGATGCCGATGGTTTTGTTTTGGGGTCGCGGGGAGGAGGACGAGAGCGTGCTGAGGGGGTGCGGGAAGGCTGCGGAGGCGGGGTCTTCGGCTTCGGGGGCGGGCGCGGCCATGATGCGGTAGGCTAGGGCGAGGTCGTCGATGCTTGCTGCCATGGGACCGAGAACGCCGACGGTCGGCGCGAGGGACTGCGAGGGTGAGCCGCTGACGCGGCTGTGGGATGGCTTGAGTCCCCAGATGCCGCAGAAGGAGGAGGGGATGCGAATCGAGCCGCCGCCGTCGGCGCCCAGCGCAATGGGCACCAGACCGGCACCTACGGCGTATCCGGATCCACCGGAGGAGCCACCGCAGTAGTAGTCGGTGTTGTTGGGGTTTCTGGGCGTGCCGTAGTTGGGGTTGTTGTTGTTGGTGTCTGTGGGGTTAGGTACCTGTTAGCTAGCTATCCAGTCCAGTTGATGCTGTCCCGCACCCAATCTGCGGAAAAGGTGCTTGACTTACCCAGTCCAAGCTCATGCATGGTAGTCTTGCCAATCACGATTGCACCGGCCTCTTCCCATTTCTTCACGCACCAGGACGTGCCATCGAAGCCGCCCTTGAAGTCCAGCTTGCTTCCGAGGGTCCGCCGATATCCCTCGATGTGCACTTCATCCTTGATCGCAACAGGGATCCCGTCCAGCGGCCCTAACGGCTTTCCATCCTTGTATCGCTTTCCCGACGCCTCCGCGGCCGCTCGGATCCTCTCCGCCTGCGACTCGAGAAAGGCGACCGAGTGTTTGCCGGGGGGCTTCGCATCGCGACGGACCAGAGGCAGAAGTGTCTCGACAACTGCAAGTGGGGTCAGTTTGCCGGACTGGTAGAGCGCGTGGTAGTCGGCGGAGGTATAGTAGTTCGCATCGGTCTTCCTTCTCTCGGTTGGGGCCGGCAGAGCTGCAAGGGATGTGCTGTCGGCATCTGTAATTGGCACGACGGTCGGGTCGTACCGGGGGGTATACTGCCGCAGATGAGGAATGTTGTGGATGATGTCAAAGCCCGCATTGCGCCAGAAGTAGCTCTGCACGAAGTTCAGATTGTGGATCCTAGAGCACGCAAAAACAATTTGATTAGGCTCCATGATTGAACGCGACTTCGTGACTATCCAATTTCCCTACTCGAATTGCTTGCGCATTGACTTACAGAGTCGCCCCGATAGCCAAAGGTGTGCCGCGAAACACAGGCAGGTCCTGGTCCTCGTTCTTATAGGGAACGGAGGGACCTTGGCGGACCTCTGGATAGCCAAAGAACTCAGACATGGTATGCAGCCTATGGAAATCAGACTCGATGATGAGAGGTGAGGAGGAGGTTGAGGATGGATGATGGATGATCTGATGCCTCCGCTGATCGTCATCCATGTGCTGCACGTGACTTTAACCTCGGCCGATTCATCTCCACAATATCCGGTTTCTGTTTGACATCTGCTCATGGCCTCATACACTGACCAACTCGTGAAGTACATTCCTCAGCAGTACATATCACTCTCTATCTAACCTTGTGGATGATAGTATATGAGTTCAGCATCGACATGTATTCATACACCCGTCAGCTGCGAAATGACTTGATGCAGTCAATCGGTCTACTGCTCACGGCACCACCGCGCAGCTGTATCGTACTCAAGCGCAAGATGCTAAGCCAAGTCCAGCGATATCGGAGCTGCAGATACTTTTTATTGCTTGGAGACAGCACAACCCTATAAACACCTACACAGATAGATGAAATAGCTGCTCTAGATGCGCTATGTCATCTCATGCTTCGTCAAACCACCACATACCCCTTTGTTTCTATAGCCTGACTACAGCGAGTATTCTACAAGTGTGTGTCATGCTCACGTTCATTCGTTTCCAAAGACGTTACAGTCTTCAGTCTTATTGCTGTGACCGTATGCCTCGGACACGCCCAAGCGGGAGCAGGTTTTCACAAAACAATTGACTTCCTGGCCGAGGGAGTTCTCGATAGTACTGGGTAAGCCAGCACAGAAAGGCCCTGGGGGTATACAACTCATGGAATGTATAACATAGACTAATCCCTCTTGAATGGGTGAGTCATTGAAAAATCTCGCCCCCGGATACTGGTTATTCGTGAGTAATCTCCGATACATATCGACATAGTAGTCTGCTCGAAGAAGACACTCATATTATACCCAGGAAGGTCACTGCAGCATTGACGTTGATCCTTTGATTCATGCTCGTGTGTTGAGATCTCTCAGAGGGAAGGTTGGATTAAAGACGATTACTAATAATGCAGACATATGCAGGCGCTTTACTGGGTCAGGCAGTAGTCGCCAGATTGGGAGATTTGGGTCCATCGGAATCAGATCTGCTCCGTCTCCACTTTCTCTCTTCATCCAGTATCCATACTCGGTCCCTTCCTCTCCATCAGTTAGGTTGGTTACGTCCACGGTTTCAGCACCTCCTTGCTTGGTTATTTCTGCTAGCTCATTGGATGAGCTAGCAACTGTTGATCTGTTACCGTGCTGAACTACGGCTTACCTTGCTCCAGTTCAGGCAAAAAGCAGGGGCACACGGGTCTTTCCAAGCCACTAAGATCAAAGCCAGTCAATCTTTCAAATACCGATCCAACGATCGGAGGCTAGCCCTTCCTAATGAATCACTTCCCTATATTAACTTAGATTGTTTTCCCCTCAAAGAGTCCTCATCCGCCGGCACCATTGGATCATCCTTCGCTACTTGCTTCTACCATTAGAAAAATCTCCGTGTTGAGGTCGAGAGTTAGACTTCTCCAGTCTCGGACACCATGCCTAAATTCAGATTAGGTGGTAACCAGCCGTGGTGTTGCAACCCCAATTTGGTTGCATCAGGAGGATTCCTCTCGGATAACTAGTCAGTGGATCTGCGATGATGGTTGTATAGTCCTGTTGCTGTCTTGGAGATACTGATTCTAAACGACAGTAGAACTGATTCTGTTGTGGCCAGTCCAAGAAAGGACAGAAGAATACTCCTTCCGCCACGACCGTTCCTCGGTGGATGTTGTGTAGCCTGGGCTCCACCATCAAACCCTAGTCCAACTCAAATATCGTATAGAAAAGGAGAACAGCAGCCTACTACAGTGTGTAGTCGTGTTCTCCTTAGGGCTCCTTCGAGCGAATACTGCACGTTCCTGTGGGGTACTCTAGCCCGGTGGAGCGCTGTTTTGGAGACTACAGTGGAAAGTGAAACACAATGCTTTTGCTTCCTCATTACCCAAAACGTTGACAGCGGAAACTTCATCCATAAGCTGAACACACGAACTGGTAGGCTGTGAGCTGATCTCCACTTCAGCGGTTCGGTGCCTTATTCGGCACTTGAATTTACGGGACTCCATCCATACAGACAGGAAAAGGGAAAGCGGAATGGCTTCGTGTCTCCGTCTTGAACCATTCCTGGAACCAATGCTCACTCAATCGTTGAAAGGTGTACGTCATGCATCGGCTAACAGTCCGTTGTTTACGTACGCCCAAATCCCTCCCACTTATTCGCTCTGACGCTTCGATTTTGTTATGTATTCGTTCCTACCTTTTCGTTTCTGTTCCCCTTCCAGCCATTTCCTCCGGCCCATTCCGCCAGTCATGATATGTTTTCCACAGGGGCGAAATACAGATATAATCAGGGAAAGGGGAAAAGGAAAGTGAAAGGGTAAAATAAAAAAACAAAAAAGAAAACAGGTGGTATAGATCACTGGGTCAACCAAAATTCCACGACCAAAAGAACCAACTGGATCGGGACAAACTCCTTTGGACCCACCGGCCTCTCCCGCTTATTGTGGTTTGGTCGATAACCGAAGAGGCTTTCCATAGTGAGTGGAGTCGATCTACCATCCTCCCCTCGTGGCGATTACCGGATACCACCCATGGTTTCCATGTGTTGACGACTTACCTCCTTCCAGACTGGAACGCAAAATAGCCTCCAAGAAAACTTACTGCGATGGACTTTTCTCGGAGCACGGTCGGATATTGCCAGCTCTCCCTAGTAAAGATCTCCATGGGCTTAGCTCATAGAGGTTAAGAGCTTGGAACTGTATGATTTGCCCAATCCTCAAGACCGGAGAGGCACTTGTCCAATGTCCCTCTAGCGGCCGCCAAGAGCGGTCGATCTCTGGATCACTGATTCCAAATCAGACCCTGGATCGATCGCTAAGGAGAGGGAAGAAGCCTCGTGGCAGGCTTATGGACGAGATTCCCACTCCGTTCACACTAGTGGGACGCACTCGAGGCATGCTAGAACTCGTATCCTTAGCCTCCTTTTCGGCTGACCCGTGTTTTCAATTAGACCGTGATTCCACCTGCTGCGCTTCTACTTCCTTTTCTTGGTCAAAGAAAAGAGAATGGGCAGGACAGGCAAGAAAAAGTAAACCAGTTTCGGACAATTTCAATCAGATTCATAATCCCTAAAGAGGGCGACTGACTCCACGGACCTGAATTGCGGATAATAGATCTAGTGTGTTTACATGCCTATAACAACAACAACTACAACAACAACAACCAACAAAACTGATCGATTTACTCGACCCAATCTCAGAATATTTTTGTTCAAACTTACTTTCAGGGGATCTCAACTGACACTACCATGTGGCCTGGAGTTAGGATGGATCCACCGGATGGCTTCCATTTTTTATATCCCTCAACAGAAGCTTGCCGGGTCCTACCTGGTCGTACCCTGGTCCGTGGGAACCGGACGACGAGGCGCCCCCCACAAAAATAGAAAAAACGAAAAGACGAGGAACGATGAGTGACAGGGCGACCAGGCTCCACGATAGTGCATCTACTCTGCCGCAGTGCCCACATGATCGAGTTTCCATACCCCGGCACTGCCGCCATAGGACATCGGTTTGTTGGGCCCTCTCCCCTCCCCCACTCCGTCGCGAATTACCGCGCCTCTGTAGGCTGGGAGGATTGAACGATGTGCATGGCGTAGAGAGACCCATATTAATGGGGCCTTGGGGAAAAGGCGCTACGCCCGAAAGTGACCATAAGCCCATCAAGTTACGTGCCCACCACCCCCTTCCAACAGGGTCTCTTTCCTGCCGGCTGTGCCCATTGGCGTTTCGGTTTAACCTTGAAAGCCATCGTTATCTACAAGGATATGGTGACAGCTGGTGGTTACTCCGCCCGGGACTCGACGCTGTAACTCGGTACCGATCTGGAGACCGACTGATTTTTTGGAGCTTTGCATGTCTACTCCGTAATCCCGACCAAAGCTGAGCTCTGCTGTGGTACCTTTCTGCCCCCCATCCCCTCCCTGGCGGAGTCTAGCAAAAAAAAAATTGGCGTTTCTTGATCTCGCTTGGACGCTACTTCTCCGCTGGGCCTCGTCACTCCACATCCATCGCTTCACTAGGGGGGGGCTTTGCTCAAACCGTTCGTTCATGCTCAGGGCAAGAAGTTCTGCCTTAGTGCGACCCACGCACATGGAACGCCCGTAGTCACATATTGAAAAGCAACTCATTCGCGACACACTTTTGGGATGCATCGCATTTTACCCATGTCTATGCTTGTTACCTCCTCAAGGCCACTCTTTTGCCCCCAAATTTCATCCTGCGGCTTCATTCCCTTTGATGCCACGATGAGTCCCAGATCAGACACCACGCCGCCCAAAAAAAGGGAATCCCGTGCAGGGACCCGCAAAGTGACATCGTTGTCGGCCGAGCAATTGGAGAGAAAACGAGCCAACGACCGGGAGGCTCAGAGGACCATCCGTCAGCGGACGAAAGAGCATATCGAGGACCTAGAACACCAGGTCAGGGAGCTTCGGATCAAGGGAGAACAATTTGACGACATGGTACGAAGGAATGCTCTGCTGGAGACGGAAAATCGATCCTTACGACACCAACTGGCGATGACAAACAGCGGACCAGGCTATCCAAACATGGGTGAGTCCGCTGACGCGGTTTTGGGGCACTGCCTTGTTGCACACAAGGCTGTCCTGCCACACCAGTTAAAATTGACAAATGACTAACTTTTTTGTTCCATGGAGTAGCCGAAGGGTCGTACGCTGGTCCTTCTGGGTCGATGATTCCGTCATCTCAATTCCCCGAGGCTCTCGGGGTGAACCCCGTCTCTAGAGCACCGTCAGTTTCCTCCACCCCCGGCCGGGTCTCAACCGCTCCTGACTGGCAATGTTGTAGTTCGACACGGTCTCCGTCCGCCTGCGGATCCTCAGAGACGGACTACTCGCATCGCGTGGAGCCGTATGCCTTCGAGGGTGCGTTGCAACCGCCGAGTGCCATGTCCGTCGCAGCACCGCCGCACGTCGGGTTCAACGTGTCCGGCAGCAGTCAGCCCCCGGCCCCTGCGTTCCAGGGCTATCCCCCGATCTATCAACCAGGCAGCGCGAGTCACGGCCACAGCGAGGATCCATCGATGTCTTACATGCACCCCCAGCAGCCGATACCAGTCCAGTCTGCTCCTCCGGACCGGGACGGCGGAGGCTACCCTGTTCTGCCGACAGCGCAGCCCTACCAGCACCCCGTGCAGCCACACCAACATCATCCTCACCAAAACATTCACCACCACCCGCATCATCATCCCCATAATCCCCCGAGACCCGACTACAGCTACGACTGGACTCACCACCCCTGACTGTCGTATGGGGTGGTCGAGGCGGTCGGCTGACGCCCGGCCACACAGCAACCAGTAGACTGAACGAGCCTCCAAAGGTGCTTCCAACCGGTCTGACCACGCGACCGAGTGATCGACGCAGTTAGTATGCCTTTTCCGAACCTTCCAAAGGATAGCCCCTATCCTAAAAGATATTCCCTAACTGTTCCCTGCTACATCTAGGATCGAAAGAGAAAAGCAAGCCAGAACGGCAATCGACCGATCGATCTCGAGCAGCCTCTCAAACGCAGCTCAAATTAACGTCTTCAAGAAAGACACCGAGTCTGACGAGCCGAACGGATACACATACATACACCTAGAGGCCCAGTATTACGACCATTACTACTACTATTACTACTACTACTAATTAATCGGCATGACTGCCACATTGTGTACGCTTAACTTTTGGATGGATGGATGGATGGATGTTGTTTATTTACCCGCCTACTGGAGCATTGTCGGTGCGCAGCGGAGAGACAAAAAGAAAGACATAATATTTACTTACCTACTATACTGGTATTGATTAATCGATAATGATAATTCTAATAGAAGGGTTGCGAGAGGATCTATTGATGTGTGGTGTGTGGTATTACACTGGATGTTATATACGCATGCATGTTGAGGGATATACATAGACTTTTTGCGATTTATTACACAGTATTCAATCAATATAGATATAGTATCTACTATGTGGGTGGATAATAAGGCGCAAAAAATTGACTCGAGTCCTGGAGTCTAATATTGTTAATCTATTTATGTGTGGTTCAATATGAATTCTACCATAGAATGCGGAAATGCCTAAAGATACCTCATATATATATATAACCAAAGATCTGATTCAATCATTCCAAGTCTATAGACTAAAACGCTCGACTATCATACATACGTACATAAACACAAAAGGAAAAATAAGAAAAGAAAAGAAAAGAGCTCTTAATCATGAAAGAAACCCCAGCCCGTATTTCCCCGCACATATTGTATATCGCATATAGTGCCCAGTTCATGACATTGAAGGTCAAAGCGTGGATCCACTGCAATAGTTGAACGACTCTGTCTGGTGGAATGGAATTCCATATGTACGGTGATGTAACGGTGTGACGGCAGCTGGGGAATTAGGATAATGAGATAGATTCATTTATCCATCGCTTAATGGAATGCTCAGTTATGTTATATTCTTTGAATATTTTTTTTTCTTGATTATTTATTTCAGTTTGGTTTATTCTCCTTTTACTGAGTGTACTGCTTCTGCAGAAGCTTGGCGATGGTCTGCAGCTGGATGTTGCTGGTACCCTCGTAGATGGCGCCGATCTTGCTGTCGCGGAACATCTTCTCGGCGATGCCCTCGCGGACGAAGCCCATGCCGCCCATCCACTCGACGGCAGAGCCGGCGACACGGCCGGCGACCTGGGAAGCGTACAGCTTGGCCATGGCGGCGTCGGCGACGAAGTCCTGGCCGGCCTCCTTCTTGCGGGCGGCGTTGTAGACGAGGGCGCGGGCGGCGGCGATCTCGGTGTAGCCCTGGGCGATCTGGTGCTGCATGCCCTGGAACTCACCGACGAGGGTGCCGAACTGGCGGCGGTCGTTCCAGACGTAGCGGGCGGCGTTCTCCCAGGCGCCCAGCGCCAGACCGGTCATCTGGGCGGCGATACCGATGCGGCCCTCGTTCAGGATGCTGATGGCGTACTTGTAGCCCTGGCCCTCCTGGCCGAGCAGGTTGCTCTTGGGGATGACGACGTCGTCGAAGTTGAGCACGCAGGTGCTGCTGGCACGGATGCCCAGCTTCTTCTCCTTCTTGGCGATGGAGAAGCCCGGGGTGTCCTTCTCGACGATGAAGGCCGAGATGCCCTTGTAGCCCTTGCTGGGGTCGAGGTTGGCGAAGACGATGAAGAAGCCGGCCTCCATGGAGTTGGTGATCCACATCTTGGATCCGTTCAGCTTGTAGCCGTCGGCCGTCTTCTCGGCCTTGGTCTGCAGCGCGAAGGCGTCGGTGCCGGAGGCGGGCTCCGACAGACAGAAGGAGCCGACGGTGCCCGTCGCCAGCTTGGGCAGCCACGTGCGGTGCGCCTGCGCGTCGCCGTACTTCATGATGGACGTGTTGACCAGCGTGTTGTGCACGTCGACCATCACGCTGACGCTGGGATCGACCCGCGCCAGCTCCTCGATCGCCACGATCGCCGAGGTGAAGTTCATGCCGGCACCGCCGAACTCCTCGGGAATCTCGATACTCATCAGGCCCTGCTCGAAGAGTTGCTCGACGATGGCGGGGTCCATGGCCTCGGCCTCATCCATATCCCGGACCTTGGGGCCGATCTGCTCGGAGGCAAACTTGGACACGGAGTCGGACATGAGAGACTCGGTCTCGGAGAGCAGGGTGATCGGAGTCGGCGTCAGGTGGGACAGGTCGACCTCCCGCCGGCGGGAAGTGGTCGAGAAGGCATGGGTGCTGTTCGGTCAAGACTATTAGCCCACGACCTCCGAAAGTAACAAAACCATCAAGGTCGATCCGGACCTGGTCCGACAGACATCGGAATGCCGAACCATCAACTCCGAACACCGAATTTCACATACCTCTGGGCAAGTCGGTACGGCATCGGCTGTCTCGCAGCCGAGCGGAGAGAGGTCGAGGTGGCAGTGCGGGACAAAGGCCGCAGGGCACGGGTAATGGAGGCCATGGCGATGAAGAGGAGTGGTGTAGTAAAACCTGACTGGTCGAAGCGGAATAAAGAGGGAGAAAATCACTGATCCTGGGGAAAAGAGGGGGGGAGAAAGAGGAGAAAAAGAGGAGAAGGAGAGGAAAGAAGGAGGAGGTTGTTCGGGGACTGACAATCACAAGGGTGGCAAGCAGAAAGGGACCTCGGCGTCGGTTGAACGCGGATATGTCCCCGACTCCCGCCCGTCCCCTCCTCCGTTTCCCTTCCACTCTTCCACTACCCGACTCACAACGAGAACTTTGAGATAGGTTGATTCTATTCGTCTGCATATCTAACACTCATGGGGTTATCACGGAAGGACTTTGAAAATAAAAAGAACAAAAAGCTTGACACCGAAAACGCCCCGTTCCCTTTTCTCCCTTAGACTCGAATCGCCTTTTTCGCATCAAACCCTGCAGACTGCGCAAAATAATACCCCCGTTGATTCGTGACCACCCGTTTCCCCGTCCGACTCTCAGTAAAATCGCAGTTGAAGTGGGTGTGCCCAAACGCCCACAGTCGCACTTGAGGCTTCTCCCAACACGGTTCTCCCCGGAGGTCGGTCGCAAACGCAGACGTGATGGGACTGTTGGCGTGTTGCGGGTCGACGGCCTCCGCAGCGATCGTCGGACTCTGATGGGTGAAGACCACGATCTTGCGGTGAGGATCTTCCTGCGCGATACGAGAGACCTGGTCGTTGAGCCAGGCGCGATCGACCTCGTGGGCCGCGCAGTGGTCGTCGACCGTCCAGTCCTGGATGTCGTAGAAATCGTTCAGTCCGAAACTGACCTGCTCCTCCTGGGTGGGACAGATGCGCGAGAACAGCGTGCAGCCGAGGACGGTGAGCTCCTGGGAAATATCATAGCGGGTGCGGTCGAGGAAGACGAATTGGCCGAGTTTCGACGGTCCGGAGGAGGCCTGCGCGCGGCGGTGGTGGACGGAATCCGAGAACTTCTGTAGCTTCTCCCGGACCGCCGGCCAGCTGGAGTAGTAGGGTTCGTGGTTCCCGAGAAGCAAGAAGACGATCTGGAACTTGGGCAGCTGGGCCTCTAGGAAGGCGAAAAACCCGTCGTCCCGGACGTTGCCAATGTCTCCCAGTAGTGCCAGGTAGGGCGCCTGCGCCACTACGTCGAAGAGGTTGTACCCCGTGGGGTTCTCCAGGTGCAAATCCGAGAGGATCTGGAAGGAAGCCATCGGCCACGAGGGGAGAGGGGCCTTCTCCGACTGTGACTGCTAATTGATTGGTTGAATTGTGGGCGCAAATCAGTTATCGACCCAGCGAACTAAAGTAAAACAAAAATATTCACCCCGGGCTGATATCAGTTCAGGGATCTAGTTGAGGATGATAGCTCAGACACGGTGAGGGCGAATGAAACGCAGAGGGAATGAGCCACCAGATCGGATCCCTCCGCGAAATCCACACTCGGACCTGCCTAGAAGGGTCTGGAAATAGGCCGAAATCCGTCGTCCTATTCAACGGAGGCCCAATATTTCTATCTTGGGGAGAAAATCACCCCAATGGATCTCAAACGCGTGGAATTGTTGGGACTGCGTCTGTATGGGTCCCTGCAAATCATTCGGTGGCCAGGCAATTAAGGCAGATTAAGGCGGATTCAGGCGCCGATCTCCGGATCTCCGGGTTGCTGCCTGGGTGCCTTGGACCCTGCCTATGACGAGGATGACTCAGCCATTATACACACAAACGCTCCGAACCCGAATCTGGTATACGCCGAACCTGCATAAGCCCCGAATTGGCAGCTCTCTAATTCGGCTAGACAAGGACTAAGATCTAGTAAAGACAACCTTCCGAGCCAACCAGCAACTGACGGACATTCCGACTACGTTTCCCTGTGCCCCGCGCTGGAACGCCAGGGTCCAGTTACCCGGAGCGGGGGCATCTAAACCCCGCGGATAGGCGAGAAGCCACAGGTCCTCCCCGAGATACCGCATGGGGTAGGCCGGTCCCTGTCCCAAAAACCCATCGAACGAGCCATAGAGCATGCCACCTGTTCCAGTGCAGTGGAAAGTGGACTCTATCTCGCCACATGAGTAGTGGCCGGTGTATTCCTCTCCCTTGGGTGGCTCCTGGGGTGCAGCGACACGTCTCAGGGAGATAACCCGGTTATCACTGATACGGCGAAGCTCGATCGAGTGATCGCCGAGGGTTGCACGCAGCGTCTCGGATCGAGCGGTCTGGGTATCGACAAGAGCGAGCGTCTCGCGGGAAATTGCGTAGGAGATGGTGATCCGGTTCTGTCCGCCCTGGGTCAACTCGAGTGCCATCTGAGCATCGGGGTCGAAAAACGTCCCAGCTAAGCTCGGAGAGAGGTTGATCGGGGTGGTAGCCGGATTAAGTGTCTTTGGAAGATGGAGCACTTCCTTCACGACGTATGTCGCCACCTCCTTGGCATCCACTTCACTGTTGAGCATGACCACAACGGACAGCCGTTCGGATGGCACTTGAAGTCGATGAAGACGGTACCCTCGGAGAGCGCCACCGTGTCCGATGGTTTTAAAGCTTCCAATTCTCCCATGTCCCAACCCGTAGCCGTAACTTGCTGGATTCCCATCCGCAAAACACGGTGGCTTGGCGATTTCCCGGTATATGCTTTGTGGATCCGCCCAGCTCTGGTCCAGATAACGCTCATACTCGATCATATCCGCGAGAGTGGCCACCACCCCGGCGTCTCCAGACCATTGCATGCGGTTAATCGCGCGGACGAATCCCAAAGACTCGGAACCTTCATATCCCTCACAAGGGGAGGGAAGCTTCGACGTGTCTGCACCTAGACGTGCGGTCGCCATCTGGGCCGGCGTGAACAGCCGTTCGCGGAGTAGCTCGTCGAGCGGCTTTCCCGAGACATCCTCCAGCACCCGAGCCAGCACATGAAAGTTCAGGTTCGAGTACGAGTATTGCGACCCGGGCGGGAAATGCAGCGATGTCGTCCGCGCGATCACCTGGTCCGCGTGCTTCGGAATAACGAATTCACCTTCCGGAGTGGTGCCCCAAAACATCGTCATCGCCCAGTAGTCGCGGATTCCGGACTGCATGTGACACAGGTGCTCGAGGCGGAGGCCGGTGCTTTCGGTGATTTCCGTCCGTAGAATCCGTCGGAAACTGGCCGAGAGCTGCTCGTGCGTAGGGCCCCGCGCGGCCATCTCGGGCGTCGGGTTGCGCTCGAGGTCTTTCAGCACGATGCAGACCATCTGCTTGGTGATGGAGCAGATGGGCATTAGTGTCGAGGGCGTCATGGGGATGCGCTCCTCCAGATTTGCGTAGCCCCAGGCATGCTGAGCGACTAGTTCCCCGTCTTTCAACACGGCGATGGATCCGCCGGGGCCTCGATAGATGGACGGTGCGATTTCGAGAATGCGTAGAACTGATTGTCTATCCACTGCTATTATTAGAGGTACAATCTACTTTTTCGGCTGGAATCCACCAAACTTACTGGTTACTTATTATCAATAACGTGAGTCTTTTCGTCTCGTTGTTTAGTCTTTGTTCTACTGAGAAATACGTCTTGCCGTCAATCGGGTGAGTAATGATAAACAAACCGAACAGACAGACTGTTTTGGTTATCTAGCAGAAGAGAGAAGTGACGAAACGGACAAACCGGGTTGACTCTCCTCTCCTTTAGTAATAACCTCTAACGAGGCCCTAGAGGCTCATATATTCCTATCGCTCCTACTCCGCCCGACAGCTCTTGTCCCCGCACTAGAGTTACATTCGATGGGTTATTAATCTAGATAGACGATCTACTATCGCATGCTGCTAAATCGCTAGTCATGAGTGGTGCCATCTTAGGGTATTTTAGCATCGACGATCATGCGGTATGGCGTTTAGAAACTGATATACTACTCTAATAGCTGGGAAGTGAATCTGGCTCCACCTTCGGGCTCAAGTACTTAGTCAAGGTACCTAATACTCCGTACTATGAGGATGAACTGGCTGTGTTCTATCGCCACAATGTGCAGTGTAATAGTTCTCTATGGTCTATTTGTAGTATCTAAATAGCTACTAGCACGCCATTCACTCGTATCTGCGAGTTGTCCATAAGAGGCTTTTCCAACCGTGTACTCCGTACATATCATTGGAAGTATCGCGGTCATTTATAGAACGGTAGCCTGAGGTATACATAATTAGGGCTGCATTGGGTTGACCTGATTGGCTGAAATAGACCGACTGCCGTGATGTATAGCGCCGGGTTTCACGCTCAGACTGTCTGGCGGCAACGAGAGCAGAGAGATAAGTTGAACTATTAATAGCTAAAATACTACATTCCTTGTCGGTCCACGTTCCAAGAACTAACTGCGACATTCCAGATCAAGAATCCAGGCTGGACCAACCACTGACACTCGCCACATACCTCATACCTCATCTGTGGCGGTGCATTTCCAGCGGAGGGAGTGGCGCAGGCAACCGCCAAGACCCGGCCTTGGTGATGCCTTGAGTCTCCCCGTAATCCATATTAAATCCATTAATCGCCGACGGGTCTTCCTCCCTTCTTCATCTCTCCTCGGTCTTGGTTTTGGGTCTATCTCGTCTGTCTACTTTGGTTTCACGGCTGTATATCATCTCTGCGCTGGTTCGCAGTGTCTCTACCCCCACAGCTTTCTATCACCCTATTACAGCGGCTACCTTGTCGTGTATACTTCCTCCTTCCTCCCCCCCGCGGTTATCAGTCAACGCCCGCCCCGCTCTAGCGCTACACTTCATTTGAGTCGCCTCACCCCTGAATTGCTTCAACCTTGCCATTTATAACGCCCTCATATCTCTCCATTTTCTCATATTACTGAAGCAACCATGTCTTCGACCATGCATGACCCCAGACTTCTCTACAGCATCAACAATATCCTCGCGTTCCATCTCCAGAATGGCGAAGAAACAGAGCTCACGCCCTCGGGGCCTCAGACACTTTCGCTCTTGATGGTCCCAACAAGTACACCACAGCCTTCGAATTCCAATGCGATGGATGGCACATCCCCCGAAGAGGACTTCTATCTGCACCTGCACCTCCCCCCGGAGCTCGACCTCGCGCTTCCGGCCACCACTCAGATCTTCCACCAACCTCCCAATAGCTATCTGATCCCCCGCTGGGATCTGGGGCCCGATGCAGGCGCTTTTATCCGGATTCAGTTTCCGGGAGTCGGGTCGGGGCCTGGAAAGGTGGCGCAGGAAGACGTGGACACCTTCGAGACGATTCTGGCTCAGTGCACGGCCTTTCTGGAGCGTGCGCCTCCTCCTAAGAAGGAGAATTATGTTGCGTACAATCCGGCCACTTATGGCCCGGGCGAAGGCTACGTCGGACCCGCAGCGACTGATTCTAAGAATCCGCAGGGGCGCATCGTCCTCATCGACGAGGAGAATGGCAGTACGGTGGGGGAAATGGAAGGCTATGACGTAGTTGAGAAACCGGGAGTGCAACCAGGGTCCAAGAGTGAGAATTGACCCCATTCCATCGGATTAGGGATTATTTTGGCTGACAACAGGCTCTTTCCAGGACCCGTGGAGATCCAACTCCCCGCTGAAGGTGAAGGCAACCAGATCAGCGTCAGCAATGCCTCCGAAGAGTACCTGCAGATGGCGCGACTTCCCGCCTACAAGTCATCCACCCTCGTCCAGACCTCCGCCACCGCGTCCCGTCTGATCGTGACCGGGTCAACGTACCTATCCAACGCCCTGACCGCCGGCGCAGACACCTTCGCCAAGAAGACCAAGCCCAGTCCGAAGCCCATGACCTTCTCCGAGAACGCCCACACCCGCATCCGCAAAGTGGGCACCATGTCCACCAGCGCAGCCGACCTCTCCGCCAAAACAGTCGGGCAAGTAGGCAAATACGCGCAGAACTTCGGCGCCTCGCTCGCCCGCCGCAGCAAAGACAACGGGAAGCAAAAGGGCGTGGACAAGTACAGCAACGAGTACAAACCCGGCGTGCTCAACAAATCCATGATCGCCTTCTCGACACTAGCCGACGGCGTCGAGCAGAGCGCCCGCAACGTGCTCACCTCGAGCTCCGTCGCCGCCAGCAACATGATCGGCCACCGCTGGGGCGCCGAGGCCGGCACCGTCGCGACCGAGTTGACCGGCGGCGTCAAGAACGTCGGCCTCGTCTACATCGACGCCTCGGGCGTCAGCCGCCGCGCGCTCCTCAAGTCCGTCGCCAAGGGCATGGTCGTCGGCCGCATGAGGGACGGCAAGCAGGTAGTTGTCGGCACGGGTGACGGCGGAGCCGTCCCTCCCGACGTCTCCTCTTCCTCCCCCTACCCTGGACATTCTTCCACACTGGACGCCCGCGATCCCGTCCACAGACGCCCTTCGCCCGGCCCAACTCCCCCGCCTGCTTACGGCGCCTCGGGAACCATGTCTATGGGTGGGGCTCCCATGTCTGGGGGGAAGCACTGACCTTTTTCTTTCTTTCTTTCTATTTTTTTTTTATATCTTTTTTAAGTCGGTATCTGACATTACATACGTTGGATTTGGGGTTTACCTTGGCTAAAGACAATGTTTAACATACGAGTAATATATGAATGACCATATGATACTGGGTTGGTAGTTAGTTGGAAGTTGTGGTCCAGGCGGCTGTACATGGCAATATACTTGGAAGATGATTGATTAGGTACTTTAGATATCTAGATACTACACCAAGAAGACTCAAGTTGACTGTTATATACACTTCTCGATTCCATTCTAGCTGCTTGGTTTCAACCTATTAAGCTATGGCTCTTACAAAGCGAATTTAAAGCTGTACGCTTGATACATGCATAGAAAGAAGGTTGACGTCCTTCGTTATGGAATGTATATATCCTGTGAAACTTGACCTTAGTTCACCATGGCGTGCCTTGTCTTCTCGTTTGAGTTGTGATCGGTAGATGTAATGTTGAATTGATATAGTAGGCTAGACAGACAGACCCAAGTGGAAGATGTTGGTAGAAATAATCCTTTAAAGGGAAAAGCGATTGGGTGGTATAGACACGGACGCTTGCGCATATTACAGTCGAAGACAAAAAGTACAAAAAAAAAAAAAAAAACAGATTTCGAATCAGCTGTCAAACGTATACCGCAACCACTCGCCCACCGCACGCAGACTCTCCCATCTAACCGACTCGTCCTTATCAGCCATCAGCTCCATGACTCTCGTCTTCAGGCCAAGTCTCTCGAGCTGGTTACGTCGCTCAGGCAGCTCCTTGACCAGATGGCCGACGTCGTTGCAGCCGATGGCGAGCACCTGTTTGTCGTTGTCCCAGCTCTTGGTGAGGATCTCGGCGAGCTTCTTGGGGAGAGCGCCGTTGGAGTCGTCGAGGATGCGGCGGGCGTTGTCTTTCCAGAAGGTGGGGTTGCGGTGGGGCGGGGACCACCGCAGGTGGCCGGATTGGAGCTCCGCGGCGTACTGGTCGAAGGTGGTTTGCGTCTTGGTATACTCGTCGAGCACCTCGGTGAGGTACTTTAGGTCTTCGAGGAGGTCCGGGTCTGTCAGGTGGCGGCCTGAGAGGTTGGTGAGGAGCGCGGGGAGGCGCACGAAGACGGCGATGGGGAGGAGGTTGCTGCGGTTGGTTGAGAGGAGGTTTTTGAGCGTTGCGAGGAGGAGACGCGTGGTCTTTTCCTTGGGGGAGAGGCGCAGGAGTTGCGTGTAGAGTTGGATGAATTCGTAGTCGCTGCGTTGGTGAGTATTGGGGGGTATTGCTGGGTTGGAGGAGGAACATACTCTTGAATTTCATCACCGATCAGGCGCCCTTCAAAGCTCAGCTGCCACATTACCAACAGGACTCTATATAGAAGTTGGAGGCCAACCCCGCCGGCGAGGCCTGGCTCCGCGGATCGCGAGCTGCCTACTAGCGTGCTGGCGCTGCTGCCGTTATCCTTGGCTCCTGCGGCGGCACGTAGGATGTCAATCAACGGGGATACCGTCTGGTCCCGCTGCTCCCAGAAGATCACGCGGGACCGCGAGTTCCGCAATAATGCCGACAGCTCCTGCACCCCGATGTCCTGCAGTCCGCTGTCTTGGTTTTGCGTCAGGGACGACAGGTATGTGTACAGGGGTGGGAGTGCCTCGTCATCCCTTGCGGCTGGCTTGGACGTCGACGACAGGCTGATCGATACCAGTTTCGTGAGGCAGGTGGAGGTGAGGAGCGGGATGGGATCTTCCGCGTTGGTCGAGTGTCGCAGGAGGGGGAGGAAGGACTTGTAGGGGGCGGGGTGCGCAATCAATTCGGAGGAGAGAGACGGGACATCTGTGATACCATAGGATTAACACCGGTAATTTTAACCCCAATTTCAAATCCTTTCTGGTCGTTCTCTATCGTAGGACCCAGGAGGAAGGGTGTAACCCACCGTTGATCAAGTCCACGGTCAAAACGAGGATATACTGGACGATATCGGACCGCCGCGAGGCAGCCTCCAGCACACTCTGTCCCTCGGGGCCGCCCGCCAGGAGACTGACGTAGCCCGGGAGATCCCCCTCAATCGTCTGAATGCGTTGTTCCTTGCGAACCTTATCCACGGCCTTGATTTTCTTCAGATGATCTTCCGTAATGCTGCCAGCTCGGACAGCTCCATCCCATGGGATCGGGCGTGCTCGGATGTTGTTCTGCAACGAGCTGAGATAGGTGGGGGGCTCCAACGACATAGTCGACATGGTAGCGAGGAAGCCGACCGGCGGGGGGGAAAGACGAAGAACAGAGGAGCAACTTGCTCGACAGGGGAATGGGAAGAGAAGGTGAGGGGAAAGATAAGGGATCGTATGCCGGATCAGCTTCGGGTGACGAGTGACGAGTGAGGTAGGCCTGAGGACCGAGATCACGTTGCCAAGCCGGGGACTTAATCTCTCGCCGCTCTCGTCCACGCAATCACCCACTCTTTGCTACGGATTCGTGCTGGACCCCCCATTTCTTCCTGTTTCATGTTCCTTTCTCTTGTCTTCTTTTCCTCTTTTCTACAGTTACCTGGATTCCCTTGGTTCAGGATTGTTTATCGGGTTTTGGCTTTCTAGGAGACTTTTGTTGTCCCCGTATACCGAATCCTGGAGCAAACAACAAGCTATCTCGCTCGACTTTCTCTACCTACGACCTGACGACCCACAGCTATCAGGTCGCATTCAATTGTTGGTCGCATGGCCCATCGCCACTCATGAACTAATCCCGCATCGATCGAGTTGGTCGCGACACCCTTGCATACGATAGTTCGCAACGATAGCTTCCCCCGTTCGTTTGACGATGGCGCAGACCCCGCAATCCCCGAAACAGAAATGGAAGGTCGGCTCTTTCTTCCAGCAGGCCGTCGCGGGGGTGGAGTCCAAGTTGGATTTGATATTAGCGGAGGAGGAGGACAGGAAACAGCTGGAACAACTGCAGGCGAAGAATAACCCGGCGCAGGCAAACCAGACGGGCAGTACGGTGCCTCCGACTCTAATCTGAGTGGCTTCTGTTTCGGTGTTGTTCGCACGGCTAACGGGTCGCAGACCTCTCGCGTAGCTCGTCCAATGCGCGCAAGAATGATAGACAGAATCGGCTCCAGGAACGCCTGGCACGAGCCGTCGTGGGGTCCAACGGCGGCCCCAATGCGTCCACCTCTTCCTCCCCGAGTCGGCCCGCCTCCCCCGTGACCAGTTCGATAGCGAGTAACGATGCGCGATCAAGTATGGATGCGGAATTTAGAGTCACCTCGCCTCTGGCCAATGCTGTAGACGTCGCTTCGAACCAGACCGCGTCGGATGATGCCCCAGCTACAGCGGTCCCACGGGCAAGCTATGATTCGGGGATCTCCTCGAGGAATTCGAAAGACATAGGCGCCTCTTCGACGGATAATGCTACAGTACAAGAAGGAGGATCTGAGTTACCAGTCCGATCTGCGAGTGCCGCAAATCGACCCTCTGACGATACGGGGGCGCGCCCGTCGAACGAGCTCGCGCGTAGTGCGGCTGACTCCCCTGCGGAGCCGGAACAAGACGATACCACTCAATTACGGACGGAAAATGACGAAGCCGAGTCCGAACGACAGCAGGAAATCTACGGATATATCGAACGTATCGATGCGTTACAGTCTAAACTCAAGTACCTCGCAAAAGAGGCCGCCGAGTCTGCCAAAAAGGCAGCGGCCACAGCGGAGCCTGGAAGTGTGGAGAAGCAGCTCCGTGAGAAGGACGAAAAGATTGCCCTATTGCTCGAGGAAGGCCAAAAACTTTCGAAATCCGAGATGGACCACCGGGCCGCCCTCAGGAAGCTCCGGAGTCAGTTCTCCGAGAACTCAAAGGCCCAGGTAGAAACTAAGAAGAGAATGGATCGGCTGGAGCTGGATGTAGCCAACGCTGAAGCCCGTGCCAAACGCGCCGAAGCGGCCGAGAAGAGGGCCAACGAATCGCTCTCTTCCCAAGCGAAGACCGCTCGCGATCTCGAAGCAGCCGTGAATGAGCGGAACGCGCTCACTCAAACCGTGCAGGAGATGAAAGCACAACTCGCTCGAGCTACCGCCCGGGCTGAATCTGCCGAATCCAAAGCCCAGTCCGATGCTTTGGAGAAGGAGAAGCGCCGGGTCAGTCAACTCGAAGAGGAGTTGTCCAACGCAAAATCCGAACGGGATGCCAACGAGGAAGCGTTACGACGAGAAATCGATAATCTCAAAGAAAAGGGTGAACAAGAACGGGAACGAACCCGCATGCTGGAGGCAGAGTCAAAGAATGAACAGGCGGTTTTGGAAAGTAAGCTGGAGTCTCTTCGCTCTCGCGCAGAGGAAGCGTCTTCGGGAGTGGCCGGTGATGCACAGGCCAAGCTCCTGCGCCAGGTTGAAACCTTGCAAACCCAATATGCCGTTGCCAGCGAGAACTGGCAGACCTTGGAGGGCTCACTGCTGGCACGGCTGGCCAGCGTGGAGAAGGAACGGGACGAGGCCGCGCGACGAGAAGGGGAGATGCGACGGAAGGTTCGCGAAGCGGTACGTATATAACTTTGGCTCACACCTTCCCCGCCATGTGGTACTGACCGTCTGGATAGAATCTCAAGGTGAAACGGGTGGAAGAAGAACTCGACAACGCCAAGGACACCGAGCACGACCTCGAAAGCAAGCTAGAGGAGCGTGCACAGGAGTTACAAAAGCTAGAGCAGCGACTCCAGAAAGCCCAGCACGAGCTCGAATCAGCCCAAAAGGACTTCGTCGAGCAGAAGAAGGTCTCCGACGCGATCTGGGCGCAGAAGCTAGAAGAAGAACAAGCCAAATGGCGAGACCTAGCCATGCCAGCCCCGAGTTTCCTCAAGCAGTCGCGGAACGCCTCGCCCGTGGCATTCAACCGCCGACCCAGCACCCTAGAAGCCGCCGCACCTCTATCCGACTCCCGCCCACTAAGCCGTCGCTCATCAAACCTGCCTATGTCTCCCGAGATCGGCACCCCGCCCCGCCAGAACTCTTTCCCGCTGTCAACTCAAGCAAGCATGTCTCCTGTAATCAACAGCGCCTCGACCGCCAACATGGCCGAGCCCTCAGCGATGGCCTTCGACTCAGACGAGTTCTTCACCGGCTCCGGCTCCCCGTCTGCATTCGGCGGCGCCCCCACCCAACACTCTCGCGGGATCAACGACCTGATCTCGGAATCGACCGTCGGCGCCGGTCCCTCGGTACAACTCGTCGAGCGCATGAGCGCCACCGTGCGTCGCCTGGAGAGCGAACGCGCAGCATCCAAGGACGAGCTCACCCGGATTACCTCCCAGCGCGACGAAGCGCGACAACAGGTCGTGGACTTGATGCGTGAATCCGACGAGAAGAAGGCCTCCGACGCTCGCATCCAGGAACTCCAGAAGGACATCGCGGCGCTCGACGAGCGCTATCAGACTACGTTGGAGATGCTCGGCGAGAAGAGCGAGCAGGTTGAAGAGCTGCAGGCTGATGTGGCGGACTTGAAGAGGATCTACCGGGAGTTGGCGGATAGTACGATGAAGTAGGCAGTGATGGTGTATAGCCTTTACCTTTATTCCGTTATAATATTTCGCTGGCACATATTCCCCCTTTCTTTGGCTTATTCCCCATTTGTACATAATATCTTTGGCGTTTCTTGGCTACTATCTATTTATTTATCTTCCTCTTTCCCTTTTCATTTTTTAGACATGGTCCAAGGATTGGCCTGGTCAAATTCTACGGAACATCATTTTGTTATGCTCCGGTACCAACTGACTGGCACCGCTATACTTGCGCAAGGCCTGGGTATGCATTCGCATTCACATCTTATTTAACGTAGAAAGCACCTCAAACATCTACAACTCAATCCCTTCCCGCTCAGCAGTCTGCACAACATACTCCCGCACCTAGAGATACAATCAGTCCGTCTCCGCAACAATCATCTAACCCACAAGCACAAAACAGGACGGGAGAACCTACCTTCCCATCCGGAGCCAAATCAATAGCCAACTGACCATCCGCATCCCTCTTATCCGGCTCCGCACCCGCCTTCAGCAACATAATCGCCGCGTCGCCGTGGCCCTCCGCGATCGCCTGATGCAGGGCCGTCAAGCCGTCCATATCGCTGGCGTTGACGGGGCTCTTTCCCACTTCGAGAAGCTCCTTGATGATCGCCGTTGAGCCGATCGCTGCCGCGCGGTGGAGGGGCAGCTGGCCGCGTCTGTCTTTGACGCGGGCGCTGCATTTGTGGGAGAGGAGGGTGCGGATGGTGGAGAGGTTGCCTTTGGAGGCGGCGAAGTGGAGGGAGTTCTGGGGGGTTTCATTAGATCGGAGCTGCCGTGGGTAATCTCTTTGATTTGTATAGAGATTGAAATAGACAAAAGGACGGTTTTTCAAGGTGGGAGGGAATTACCTGGCCTGAGTTACTGGTGACAGTGGCGTCTGCGCCTTTGCGGAGAAGCAGATCGAGCATGGGGTCGCCTTCGGCGTTTTTGAGACTCGTGGCGATCATGAGTGGTGTCCAGCCGGATCCATCCTGTTCTCACCATATTGACGTTGGTTAGATGCTATATGTTGCTGTGTGTTTATCATGGGAGCTAGGAGGGAGCTCACCTCCACGTCTGGATCGAAGTTCTTGGTTGCGACTAGTTGCTCCACGATGTCCCGGTGGTTGTATGCGACGGCCCAGTGGATGGGAAGCCGCTCGTCATCGTCTTTCAGGGTTGCGAGTTTCGGGTTTGCCTATATCAGGGAGATTCGTGTGAGTATGTACGTAGGCTTAGATAGGTATTGTGGTGGCGTGGGCAGCTCTAGTGACGATGCGGGGTTGCGCCAGTAAATACATACGTTTAAGAGAGATTCGACCACTTGAGCTGTTGAATGGTTAGCTTGAAGATTATAGTGTGTGAAGGAAGACTTACTCTTGCCCTCTCGAGCGGCCTCGTGCAGAGGGAATTTGGAAGTCTGATCTGGCTCCATGATGGGATGTCTGATGATAAGCATATAGTGTAGAGTCGAGCTCCGGCGATGATCGATGGATCCCGTTGAGCTTCCCGCTGTCTGCTCTGTGATTGGCTGGTCAGGACTGGAGTGGCTTGGATGCCGTGGTGCCTGAGGCAGGCACACCGCTCGCCGCCCGCGGATTCTTCTTCATGATGGAATCACGACGGGCTATCTATCCTTCTCCACGCCAACTCACTCTCCCACGCCTCTCTCTGTTACTTATAGGTCGCTTGCACGGCTTATTCCCTTATCAGTTGATTTCTTTATTCCATCAACTCTCGCAATACATCGTCTCTGAGGAGCAGACGCAAGCGACACGTCCGGTTCCCCTTCGCGTCCTCTCCGAGCGACCCTAGGCTCGACTTCCCCCCGACGCAATTAATTCATAGCCATCTATCAACACAATGGATGTCGCTTCGACCACACCAGAAGATGCCGTGCGCATCTCCGCCAAGAGAACCGCGGACCTGTTCGGCCCCGACTATCTGATGGTGACCCCGTCCGTCACCAACGGGTCCATTGGCCTCTCCTACCGACGAAAAGCAGAGTACGACGACGTGAAGGAACTGCCCCCAGCACTCGCCGCGAAACAAGCCCAGGCCGCTGCCGCAGGCCGTGCGAAGCGACCGAAAACCCAACCGCAGGCGCAGGCCAACGTGGATCAGAGTGGCGGGTCGATGTCTCTGGTGAAGAAGGGCCCCAGTCCGAGTGCGGGCGGTGTCGGTGGTGAGAATCAACCGAAGAGCTTAGTTCAGCGACCGTCGGCGACGCGACAACAGCGACCGGATTGGCACGCGCCGTGGAAGCTGATGCGCGTGATCTCGGGACATCTGGGGTGGGTGCGAGCGCTGGCGGTGGAACCGAACAACGAGTGGTTTGCGAGCGGTGCGGGCGATCGAACGATCAAGATCTGGAATCTGGCGACGGGACAGCTGCGACTCACCCTGACGGGCCATATCTCGACCGTCCGTGGATTGGCGGTGTCTCCCCGACACCCCTACCTTTTCTCCTGCGGCGAGGATAAGATGGTCAAATGTTGGGATTTGGAAACCAACAAGGTCATCCGGCATTACCACGGCCATCTGAGCGGTGTCTACTCGCTCTCGCTGCACCCAAACCTGGACCTTCTGGTTACCGGTGGTCGGGACGGTGTCGCCCGAGTGTGGGACATGCGCACGCGCAGCAACGTCCATGTCTTGTCGGGCCACAAGGGCACCGTGGCCGACGTCAAGTGCCAGGAAGCCGACCCGCAGATCATTACGGGGTCTCTGGATGCTACGGTCCGCCTGTGGGATCTGGCCGCCGGCAAGTCGATGGGGGTGCTCACGCACCACAAGAAGGGCATCCGCAACATCGCCATCCACCCGCGGGAGTTCACCTTCGCCAGTGCCAGCACCGGCAGCATCAAGCAGTGGAAGTGTCCCGAGGGCGCCTTCATGCAGAATTTCGAAGGCCACAACGCCATCGTCAACTCCATCGCCGTCAACGAAGACAACGTCATGTTCTCCGGCGGCGACAACGGCTCCATGTGCTTCTGGGACTGGAAGACGGGCCACCGCTTCCAGACCATGGATACCATGGCGCAACCCGGTTCGCTGGATGCGGAGGCCGGCATCATGGCGTCGACCTTTGATCGCACCGGTCTCCGTCTATTCACGGGCGAGGCCGACAAGACCATCAAAGTGTGGAAGCCCGATGATGAGGCCACCGAAGAGTCGCATCCTCTCGCGTGGCAACCGACCCTGGGACGGCAGAGATACTAATGCGTGATGCTTCAGACTGATTCTTATACCCCGTTCAATCAGTTTGTCAGGAAAGAGGAGATACTTGAGGAAACCATGCTTGTTTTGGTGCAGCTTCACGGAGTTCCGGTGGATTGAGGTTTATATGTTGTCTTTAGATATGATGGTTTCTCCCTGTAAGGGCACAAAAAGGATATAATTGCCCATGACTGAATTGTATTATATGATGTTAGATAGATATCTAACCTGGGCTATCCCGAGCATTGCTGATTCTACCTCTATATGGTATACATTGTACACCTACAATTGATTATCTAGCCTACTTACAGCGAGGTAGCCCAGAGTGATAGACTGAGTGACCGTGGACCCAAACTGCAATTTCCTATTTGGGAAAGTATGTCACCAGTTCATTCATCCAAACAACATCATCAAATTGCTTCTTTGCTTTCCTTTCACTTGCTTGTCCCAAGTGCTGCAATCACTGTTTGCTTTCCTTCTGCCAATGAATGCATCTATCTGATTTCTCCCATGGTGTGTTTGTGCCTGTATGCTGTGAATGGAATTGATCTTGATTCTTCATCTCCCATACCTTTATTTATTGCCAATCTTCCACTGCCTTTTCTTTCTAATCTTCAGATCTCTTCTCTATCCCATGTTCTCCATCTCCATCTCTTCTCATCCAGACTCTTACAGGTTGTCTCCTGCCAAAGTCGGGTTTTCTAGTGTTGTAATCTTCGTGTCGTTTCAATCCGCTTATCCTACTGTTCTGACATTCTGATTCCATTTATCCAGGCTAACCCACTCTGGATTTCATCAAAATGGAGTGAGTAGCCAAGAAATCTTCAGACAGGAAGGAATATACTGACATACCTCCCAGTCCTGAGTCGTCAGCAGCCGAAGGTAAGTGTGATGTACCCTGACAGGATCATCTGAACGGATCCAACTGCTTTGACATACCCTCACTGACTTGTCTTCAGAATGGCAGCTTGTAGGATATGGGCGAAAGTCTCTGAAACCTCATGCATCAAAGCCTACGCCTGCCAAACCTACCAACCTCAGCCAGCCAGATCAAACACAGCCTACTAACTCGACCCAACCTGTCCAGCGTCCTGAGCCTGTCTGCAAAGATCAACCTACTGCCAGCAAAACACAGCCGGCAGCCCTAAAGGGACCGCAGAAACAACAGAAAGCCCAGGTTCCGTATTCCCAGGCCCCTAAAAGACCAGCTCCTCATACCGCTACGCAGCCTAGAGGTGGTTATCAGAGCGCCAGAGGACGGGGAGGGTCCAATGTGAAACGTGGACAGGGAACGCCAGCTCGACAATCCAGCCGTCTTTTCAGCGATTCCCCTGCTAAGTCAAAGTGGAGAGCGGGCACCCCGCCTACAGGTGAGGATATTGTTCGATCGAACCCTATCCAGATCAAGCTGATCGTGGGAATCTGCATAGCGTCTGTGAGGTTATCTATTCCATGGGGGTCATTCAAACACGAGTAAGACCTTCACGACTCAGAACGGCAGCCATAGGACTTACCCCGTTTCCTCCTCACGCAGATTCTTTGCAGCAGCAAGATCATCCGTGATGGGCAGCGACTCATCTTCGACTCAGTGTCGATATGAAGTCTTTGAAGTGATCAACCGGAAGACTGGTGCCTACGTTAAACCCCCTCATTTTTCAGACCGTGTATGCCACAGCCCTCTCCCAGCAACAATAGTAGTCACGGTTTATGCTCACTGCAATATATATAGTTGATCCTTCTATGGGGTGAGCCGTCGCAAGCGGCATCTGCTCAAGACCTTCTTCAATTGGTTTTGAATAAATGCAAAAGCATTTCATCGACCCTGAAGAAGAAATCAGAGTGGGCCAGAATCCACGGCCATTCTGAAACCAAGGAAGCCATGTTCGAGTTGCAAGAGCGACATGGAGCTATCTTACAGCAACTTCGAAGACCGCCAGAGTCGCTTGCAATGTACCCTGAACAGGTCGGTGTGTGCCTTGCCTCTCAAACATTTAACTGCTTTCTGACTCCTTTGAATTCAGTTGCTCTTCTTATGGCCACGGGACGGCCCGTCTCTCCGAGATTCTCTTGGGCCACAGCTGGAAGCCTTGGACACCATTCGGGCGAAGTTCGCGTGTCATCTGTTCATTCCAAACGGCCTTGCGGACTTCATCTGTGTCGTTGGTTGTGATCATGACACGATCAAGGAAATTGTTCGCCGCCTGAGGACAAAGTGGAGCGAAATAATCGCGAGCAGCAGCGTCAAGGCTAAAGTTTATGTCGTCGAACCCCCACCGTCCGGCACCGTGAGCAGAATCCTTACCGAAAAACCAAAGAATGCGCCTTTCGTGGAACTTGCTCTGGTTCATGACAAGATTGAAGGGACGGCCCTTCAACAGTGGCTGGGACGAGCTGCTTTGATCCTGTCCAAGAACGATACTCGTCTTCTTAACGCCATTGAGAGGTCACTGCGGGGTGTCGCCTTCGTTAGAGGACACTTGCGCATGCGTGTGAACCTTGGCTCGTTTGTTCTCTACGAGTACCGCCGTCCATTGAACGGCAAGTCTTACGATTTTGAAGAGCTCCGGGAGATGCTCCTACATGAGCAAACCAAGGGTCGTTTGATTCCGGGGTAAGTCAATGGAAATTCTACGGTCAAGTAACCACTGACTGTCTTCCAGGTTAAAGACAAAGCAAGATGATCTTCTCCAGAGATGCTATGAAGCAACCGATCTTCTCGCACCATATGAGCGCACGTCGTCGTCGTTGAAAGATCATGAACTTCTGTACTCTGTCAACTTCGAATTCCAAGGGTCGAACACTGCGATGCTACGACTAGAGGCCGAGTTTGCCAAAAGTCCTGGGGCGCACGAATACGAAGTCACGCAAAGAAGATGGCTCAGGCCTCGTGGAAGCGGCTCAGTAACTGAAAATCGTCCTCCCTTGCAGATTGGAGTCGTTGACCTTGAGAGGTAGGAATATGGATCTTCCCCGGTGGATTGTCACCCAAGCTGACTGAATCAGATCGGATTGGCAGATAGAGATCAAATCCCTTGAGTTCTACGAGGCGTCTGCGATCGATTCTAAATTGAGGGCGTTTTCTCACTCTGTGCGGTTCCAGAGAAATTCTGATACTGGCGACATTTGCGCAGCGCCTCGTAGGAAGGTCATATTCCCAGACTCGGATCCAGTCTCACGGTTTGTGGAAAAGACCGCCATTAGGTATCGGCTGAAAGGAACAAGCTATATCTTCGAGATTGCCCGCTATGATGAGTACAGCCGTCCCCGTGGCGCGGCCCTTTTCGGAACTGCCTCGGTCTCTTGGGGAGCGTCTGTGTTCGATCCCAACTGGGACAATTTGTTGGGAGAGCATGCAAACCTACCAGTCGGCCATAGTGCCAGATACAGCCCCGGTCTGCACACGTTCTTCCCATCTCGAGAACCAAGCTCTGAACCAGATTACCCGGGCTTCTGGGAGTTTATCGGCTTGGTAAGACTGGTTGCCGAATTGCTTGGTCCTGTCCGGGCTTTGACTGAGCACGCTGTGCATCCTGCACCTGCTTCGAGGGACGCGAATAACAAGAAAGAGCCGATCTCGTCAAATGATGCAGTGGCTGTTGGTGACCGTGGCGGGATGCTCGATGCTGACCTCGGTACTCTTTTTTGACTGCAGGCCAAAAGAAAAGTGTCTGAAATGGAGCTCGGATTCTGGAAGAACCTCCTCCACGCGGGTTCTATGTTTTACCTGTTTTCTACCGTTTTCACTGCCTGTTTTTCCTCCAGTTCTATGCGGCACCCGGTTATAGCATGTTAGCGTCGACACTACCAGCTACCCCTCTCGTGTGGAATCCGTGCTGGAGATGTGCATGAATCATGTGTCGCGCTAAGGCTTCCTGCAGTTTATGAACGATGAAAGTCTATGCCATAATCGGGATGTATCATTACTCTGTCCACAGCCGCAAATATCATTTCGTCTATCGTAAAATTTTTTCCGACTATAATATTCTGTACACGGAACCTGATATAGATTCAGCCACCGCCCGCGGTAGCGGCAGCAGGGGATTGTGTGCCTTCACTGAGCAGTTTGACCCTCAGAGCTAGACGATGTCAGTAACCACACATACAAGAGTCATATGGAGGGATAACGGTACCTTCTTCGAACAGCCTCTGCTGTTGGCTCTTGGTCTGCACGATCTTCTCCAGCTCCGTCAAATTGGCCTCCAGAACCTTGACCTTGTCATCGTAGAAAGCGATAGCTTTGGCGGGAGTCTATTGTCGTAATTAGCACAAACCCTTCTCCTCAAGAGATAGGGGGGAGGCAAAAACAAACCTTCTCAACATAAAACCCCGTCCCAACATCAACAAGCACCTTCTCCCGATCCGCCATCTTCCCCTTAACGTAGAGCGAGCTCGTCAACGGAACAAGGATATCATCCCGTCCGTCGGTGCCCTTCTTCGACGACCCGACGACACCCTCGTTGATAGAACGCACACAGTCGCGGAACTTGGACTGCGCGGCGCGCAGCTTGGCGTGCGAGGAGGTGAGGTGTTCCAGCTCGGAGGAGATGCGGGATTGGAGGGCGCGGAGTTGTTGCGAGGAGAGGGAGCCGAGGTTTACTGTTTTCGTGCAATTATAATGTCAGTCTAGGATACGAGGTACCATTGGAATGGGTCTTCTTTTGGGTGTCTTTTGTGTTTTTTTGTTGGGGGGGTTCGAATTGGTGGGTTGGATGGCTGGTTTACCTGCTCCGGGGGGTGCTCCTCCCTCTGCGGGGGAATCTTGAGGGGCCATTTTTCGCGACGTTGGTTTGGTTTCTGCTGGCTTTCTTTCTGTCTTTCTTTTCAGAGCCCGAGTAGCGTGTCACTCCAGATGATCAAGAAGGCCTGCCCGGCTGCGCTGATAGGTATTACGGCCGTGTGGGCTTTCCGTTGGAGATGTTCTTCCGATTGATGTACAGAGGGAGGATAACGAGCTAAAGTTGGTGGGAGGGGAGCTGCTGATTAGTCATGAGTTGTGCTGGTGATTGATGAGTCAGGTTATCTTTATGTGTTTTATGTGATTTGTGTATGTGGTGGGGCTGGGTGCCTGATTGGTAGGGCATCCTTGTTTTTTTAGCCTGGGGTTTATTTTATTCCTTCTTGTCTCTACTTCTTTTTTACTATTTCTTCACTGGGTCACGCTGTGGATGTCTGGGAAATCATAATGGTTTTCTATTGTATACTGGGTGCGGTGAATGATACAAAGAGTATGTCAAGATCTATGAAGTTTCATGGAGAAAGCTGTACTGTATCAGATCAGGGCTGCAATCACAGCTCAGATGCAGTATGATATCTAGTCATCGCTGTGTTGCCGTGATGAATGAAGATTCACTATTTGCCTGGATAGCAAATAGTCATAAAGAAACGTAATCACTTAATCATGTCAAAGAGCGTACTTCTTACCTGTGGAGTTTCCGTATATATACCCTGACACCACCTACTTCCAACCTACCAACTTAACCACCTCTCGGACCCATTTCGACATTGATATTGCACCGTATATATCCTAAATATGCAAACCAGAAGCCTTTCAAACCCCAGATTAACTCTTTTTGATATGACTAGAGTGGCCTTGACAAGTCTATTTAGATCTATCCAGATCTATCCAGACCCATTCAGAACCACTGAGATCGACAAGGTACTTTCAGCGGCTTAGTTCAAACCTAGACCGTCTTGCTTCCTTGTCATCAGGACAGACTGGGGATATGGCCATCGCAGCCTTTGACTTTTGCTGGTGCAATGGCCAGCTGACAGAATTTGGCCCTCACAGGTATCGCTGGGCCCACTTATAAAAAGAAAAAGAGGCTTATCTACAAACCCGACAATGCCCACATCATGGATCTCTTTTGTTAGGATATCAGTCATGTCAAGTCTAACCAAATACATATTTGGTATTACAGTGGATGAACCCATCGTTCATGGCCGTGTGGTAGCTATTAGCTATCTTTCTGGCGCGTCAGCGCCCTACCTTTCGGTCAAATCGAGAAGCTGGCCAGACTTCCAATATTCGCGGCATCGTGTTTTGGAAATGGGAAAAATTGCCCACAACATAATGGACTGCACGGAAGCGCTGCGCTGAACGAACCAAAGCTCGTAATCTACGATCTGATATATATATTTTCAACTGTTCAACACACACTGCGAATAATACATTTGCATACCGGCAGTCTACAAGATGCTAGGATAAGTGGGAGATGCTAGGATAAGTGGGCAATCATGAACCCGTCGAATGGTACACAGGCGAATCCTGTTGTCTTTTGGGCTTCTACTAGGGCAACCCAAGACATCGATTTGTCTCAGCTACTGCACCAAGATACCGAATCGACGTTTGATCGGGCTTGATATGGCTGATATCTCAACACTTTACGACAGCCTCCGTCCAGATGAGAAGCAATGTGGAATACCGATTTTTCTTTTACTCAACTTTTCTCGACAATACTTGTCAGCTCGAAAATAGTCTGCAATGTAGGCTGGTATTTATGCTCAAATCTTTCGATATGCGCAGCAAAACCAGACTGGGACTGTCAGTTCATATGTATAATCCGAGCCGTCAAGACGATCAGCTGTCAGAGTCATGGCGCCTTGGAAGAAGTGTCATCTGGATATGCCATAAGTCAATCAAAAGGATCCCCGTTGGTTATTGTGATGAGATAAGTCTGGTTATTGTGCCAGCCAAACTCATAGACACCTGGAAATCTGAGTGATCAAATCCATGCACCCACGTATGGACATGAGCCCTGGGCCCTTTTGCAGAAACACCTCACTCGTGGAGGCCGCTTTGTCAGCCCTATAACCATCAATCATCTGCAGATTCTTGAGACCGATTTGTCGCACATGCTTGTCATGTGGACGCGTGAGCAGACAGTTATTACAGGCGACGTCCACTTTGTCAATGCGAGACTCTTAGTAGTTTGCTCAGCAGAGCAGCCGCTATCTCGTCCAAAAGATTTGTCCCTGTCGAGGCAAGAATCGGCTGCGTGATTGTTGCAGGCTCCTGCGTTGTACGGCGCACATCAGATTGTTAGGGATAGCAGGTCCACAAATGGAAGGACGATGTGCTTCTTCCTCTTTTACTTACCTCCGCTAGATTCCTTGCGTAATCTGCCCTTTGACTCCCCAAAGGGAATCGACAATGGTCAGTATGGCTAGCCCTGTGTATCGTCGGTTGCTTGGAATGTACTCGTGGTCCGAACGGATGTGTGCGTGTTCAGATTTATAGACCCTGTGAACTGCAATTTCAACTCTCGCGGGCTTATTTCATGCAAGTATGTATTGATCAGCTCGATGATGGCGTTTGCGGATCTGCGATATGGAATGACGATGGCCATGTTCTTGGTTTTTCTCGCTATGCATTGAGGTCGGGGGACTTGATAGATAAGGGTTCGCTGGTGCTTGACATCATGAGAAATAGTCTTCGAAGTATATATAGTACAGCCATCGCAATAATCAAGAATTATTCCCTTCATACTTCCCATAGTCTCGGTGTGCGTACAAATAATAGTAGTCAGTATAGACGGGTTCTTCAATCCCAGGGTTTAAGCCAGTACTCAGAACCATCCACATGAAATTTTCAAAGAAACAATGTATATAAATCCTGACAGAAACGATCTAAAGTCTAATCCTCAAAACAAAATGCACATATCAATCTCCATGTTCTAGACAAACAGAAATCCACCCACAGTTAATATCGCACCAGCACAAAGTCTATGGAAGAAAATAAAGAAACGCCAACAAAACCATCGAAATCAATATCTCGGGAGCCTAACGCAGTCAAGCAGTCTGTTTGTAAATATCCCACGGATGCAGGCCGCTTCTCTGACGGAACAGATTGACAAGCGGCGTAAAGAGGACCTTGCCCTCAAAGGTCGCCATCGTGCCCTCCGTCTCTGCCTGGTTGTGCTGTTCGTACAAGGACGCCACATCCTCCCAGCTCGCCCATCTCCATTCTTCGCATTTCTCCGGTTCCATGATCTGTATGTCGTCAGTTATCAAATCCTTTCATCCTGGTATACGTGCCATGACCATCCATCGGAAATGGGGACATGTAAATATAGAAAAAGAACCCCCAAACACACAAAGACAGATAAGAATAAAACAGCCGACGATGAAATCAAAGGGTAGTGCTTACCGTCAGCGTAGCATTCTCGTCCTCCAGCCGACACCCCACAAAGATAGTCACGTAGTGCTTCCCCTCAGACTTCATGACATCGTTGGTAGCAGTGAGGAATTTAATATCCTTCACCTTGACGCCCGTCTCTTCGAGAACCTCTCGCTCTGCGCAGGTCTCAAAGGACTCGTTGAACTCAAGGTGGCCGCCTGGAAGCGCCCAGTGGCCTGTTGTTTCCATGTTAGTATTACCGGTGGTGGCATGAAGGTCAGGGAATAGTATGGGGGACTAACCAGCTCCGTGGCTTCCCTTCCGCTGGCCGAGAATGAACTCGCCTTTGGAATTGAATACGAAGACGCCGACGCCGATACGGGCATTCATTGTTGCTGGTGCTGTGTGAGGTGGTGGAGTATGAGGGGTGTTGTGGGTAATAGAATTTTGAGTTTGGCTGGAGCGGATAGAGCGAAGTAAGTGTCAGAACTTGTAGTACTCCCTTCAGGCGGTATCTGTCTGAATTTATAGATCGACTGATTGAAAGGTATATTGAAAGCAGTACGTATTTTCGTAGGGCGTGGCTTTGTGTGTATAGTCTTTGATATTCTTCCAGCGGACTTCCCTGTGGATGCCTGCGGGTGGTTGTGTGCACCGCCCTGAAATTGAACTGCGCCCGCCTGAGCGTGATAGCGCGCCAATGAGCATGGATAATGTCCACCTGTCGTTCATCCCAGACCCTTGCTCGACAGTATTTTCTTTATCGTGGCTGAAATGAAAGCATATTATCAGTGATGTCATGTCTACTTTTATACGGTCTTACCAATCACAGAGCCATGCTTATATTTACTGTACAAAGTCGTATAATACATCTACTTCCCCACTGCGCCGGCTGCGGTTAGAGCCTCTCCAACAAAGACCGCACAAATCCAGGCAACTGCTCCAGTGACACCTCTTCCCTCAGGTTGTGCAACCGGCGACACTGCACCTCCACCGTCTGCTGGTTCTTCCAGCCTTTGCCAACCACAATGATCACCGGATACCCGATCAGGTCGGCATCGCCCAGTTTCCAACCCATCTGTTTGTTGCGGTCGTCCAGAATGATATCTAGTGGACTGGATTCATCTGCGGCAAGGGTATCGTATATCTTCTCTGCGTCCTTCTCCAGACCTTTGCCCGGAACGACAACGACCTCGTAGGGTGCCATCACTCGCGGCCAGTTCAGCCCCTTTTGGTCAGCCAGGCTGTCGGCCACAGCTGTGATCATGCGCGATACCCCGATGCCGTGGCAGCCCATCTGCATGGGCACAGTCTGGTCAGATGTGCTGGAGCTTCCCGACTCGCGAAGCGCAGCCTTATCGACCATGACAGACGCTTGGAGGACTTGGCTGTACCGGGTGCCAAGGTGGAAAGTGTGGCCTAGTTCGATTGCAGTGTGGGTTTTCACGGTGCCGTCGCCGCATTTGAAGCACCTGTCTCCGTCGTGTATATTGATGATGCTAAGGCCGTTGTTTGTGTGTGGGAAGCGGTCGAGCATGGAGTAATCGATGTCGCTTACTGTACAGTTGACCTGCTGCAGTAGATCACTCAGTGGTGGCCGCTTGTACACCCGCACCTGAGAGTCGTACAAATCGATCACCTGGGGGCGGTGCAAAATCGTCGAAGATCCAGAGGCTTTGTCGGATTTTATTTGCGCCGACCACTGTTCAACAGGGTTTTCAATGCTGAGGTCAAGGTCGATGCCAGCGGCACTTGCTATGGATTTGACGGCATGAGAGTTGACTTCTCGTTCTGTTGGTTCTTCGCTGGGTCCTTGCATGGAAAACTTGGGGTGCCATGCCCTGAGGAGGGTCCTCTTGTCTTTTGAAATCGACAGCCAAAGACCAGTCGATATCGTTGGTGGCGCCTCCGTGGAACCTGCCTCTGTGGCAAAGCCATCTCGGCTCTCTGTGCGCTGCTCCCCAATGTCATGGGATTTTCCATCGGCCAGCTCTTCGTTGTAAACAGTATCGCAACTGGAGCAACTGACGACGGTGTCTTCTCCCTTCGGGCTAGGGAAATGGAATTCATGACTCAAATCACCGCCCATGTTACCTGAGTCGGCTGTGGCAACGAGATACGGTATCTTGAGCTCATTGAAAAGTTGCGTATACGCAGCCTTTACTGAAGTGTAAGTTTGCAGCGCGTTTTCTACATTGTGGTCGAACGTGTAGAGATCTTTCATGATGAACTCCCGCCCACGGAGAAGGCCTTGCCTCGGCCGTGGTTCATCTCGGTATTTCCGAGCTGTACTAATATCAGCACCTGACTTTTATTATCCAATGCTTGACTCACAAATCTGATATACTCGCAGAGGTAAATCACGGTATGATTTTGTGAGACTCCCTACCAGAGTAGTAATCTCTTCCTCGTGCGTAGGCGCCAGAAGCAATCGAGACTCTTTGCGATCAAGAAATTTAAATAGCTACATGCCATGTGAGCAGATGGCAGGGGCATATACCAAGTTGGATTTACCTCTGATCCCTCTTTCAACCGCCCGGATTGCTCCCAGAGTTCCTGGGAAGATATGGACGACAAAGAAACCTTTGAAGCACCTGGAATTTATCAGTCTCGACCATTTCTCCAATAAGAACTCGGTGTAACACACCAACAGATCGCATATACTTGTCAATCAGACGTTCTAGCTTCTCCTGCACACGCAACCCTAGGGGCAGCATGTGAAAGATGCCCGAGTAGGCCTGGAAAACACCGTTAGACCGTGTTGAAGAGAACTATGACGAAACACACCTGTCGAAGAAAGCCACCTCTGACCAAGAGATCGTTGGCATCCTCTATATCACTGTCAATGAGTCCAATCCTCTTGGGCTGGCTTCGTTTAATTACCTTTACTTCCCTGTACATGTTTTTTTGAGACCCCCCCCGTAGGTGTCCAAAAATTAGATGTCCGACTCCTACCATCAATCTATACCATCATTAATACGGCCCTGCTCCCGGGGTCAATAATTCCATACATGATAACTGCATCTGGGCACTCTATGGAGCCGGAGGAATCCCGAGAACGCTCGATGGGGCCCCGAGCAACGGCCCGAGGGCGGCCGACACCCAAGTAGCATGGATCAGGGGATGCGAAAAAAGAAGTAACTCTATAATGAGAAATCTAGCTTTCAATGGCGGCCGTTCATCGTCCAATATGCGGAATCTGGTCTCGTCGCGGATCGCAACAATGGACATTGAAGATGGATATGGCGCGCCGGGTGGTCCGAGCGCCCGGCAAAACCGTTTCTCCGGCGGCGTTTGGAGATCTTCGAGCGGCAGAAAAAAAAAAGTTGCGATAGCATTCAATCGCCGTTTGTACATCTCACCAAACAAATTTCCCCTCCATGGCTAAAGGAAAGGGAAGACGCTCCTCCGGGGCGAATAGCACTGTCGCAGATGGCGGAGTCGCCGTGAGTGACTCCAAGCCTGCTGCGAACGCTGTTCCCCAATTGCAAGAGGGCGCTTTCGCCGGCCTCCGACAGAAGATCGAACAAAAGTTGAAGGAACAAAGAGGCCCGAAGCAGAAGAAGAATGCGGCTGTTGCCAAGGAGGCTTCTACCGACTCACCGGCCAAGCCTCAGGAACAGGCCCCTAAGCCGAGCCCGAAGCGGAAGGTCGATGACGACAAGAATAAGGGCAAGAAGCGCGATCGCAACGGTGAAGTGATCGCGAGAGACGAGCAAAAGGGCAAAAAGGATGTGCCAAATAGCGGGAAATCCAAGTCGAGCGGTGGAGACAAGGATGATACCTTGCGACAAGAGATTTTGGCCATGGGAGGTACAGATGAAGATTTCGATTTGATTGCAGGCATCGAAACGGATTCCGAGGAAGAGGAGAGCGCAGGCACCGCGAAGAAGTCTACAAACAAATCGGATGAGGCTGCGTTGAGGAAGGAGTTGTCGAGCATGCTTGCTGCTGCTGGTCAGGTCGTCCCAGATGACATTGTCGACGAGGACGAAGCAGAGATCGACGAGGACGAAGAGGAGGAGGATGAAGAGGAAGAGGACGAGGACGAGGATGAGGAAGAGGTGGATGATGAGGAAGAGGAAGAAGCATCTGAAGAAATCCAGGAGGACGAAAGCTCAGCCGATCAAGAAGACATTTCAGATGAGGAGGAGGAGGCTCCTCCAGCCCCGGTTGCCAAAGACACCAAGAACGAATTCAAGACGGGAAAAGCAGCTGAAAATATCTTCCCCAAGCAGTTTTCCAAGCTTGTAAGGATTCCGTTCCCTTCTAAGATTGCCTCCCACTAACACGATCACAGATTGTCCCTCCTCGGTCGGACTGGTACATGACGGAGCTCCCTTCCATCCCATCGAAACAAGCGAATGCCTTGCCTCGCCACTTGGTCGATCGGGTATACGGTCGCGCCGTATCGCTCTTGGAGAAAGAAAACAAGATGTATGCGGATGCGCAAGCAGCTTCGGCCTCTTCTTCCCACAAATTCTACACGACTATCATGTCCACCGGTACCCTGAGTGATAAGATTTCGGCTTTGACTCTCGCTGTTCAAGAGTCGCCGCTGCATAACATGAAGCAACTGGAGAATTTGATTGCCCTTGGAAAGAAACGCAGTCGTTCTCAAGCAGTGGATGTTCTCAGGTCACTGAAGGATATGTTCGCGCAGGGTACATTGCTTCCCAGTGAGCGCCGCCTCAGGTCGTTCGCCAACCAGCCGTCCCTGGTATCCGCGTTCCAGGGAGCAGGTGGCCGGTGGTCTGAGGATGACCCTCTGCCTGGAGGTCTGCAGAATAGTCACATCATGGTCTGGGCCTACGAGCATTTCCTCAAGGAGCAGTACTTTGAAGTCCTCAAGATCCTTGAAGTGTGGTGCAACGATGAGATCGAATTCTCGCGCACCAGAGCTGTGAGTTATATCTTCGAGCTACTCAAGGAGAAGCCCGAACAGGAAGCGAATCTGCTGCGGCTCCTAGTCAACAAATTGGGCGATACATCAAAGAAAATTTCCTCGCGTGCTTCCTATCTGCTCTTGCAAATTGAGCAGACGCATCCGTTGATGAAGCCCACTATCATTTCCGCTGTTGAAGAAATTGTCTTCCGTCCGGGCCAGAGTCAACACGCCAAATATTACGCTATCATCACGTTGAATCAGACGGTCTTGAGCCTCAAGGAGGAGAAAGTTGGCATGCAACTCCTCGATATATACTTTGCACTTTTCGTTTCCTTGCTCAAGCCGCTCAAGCCTGCCAAGGGTCACCAACACCAGGGTGGGAAGAATGGCAAGCATGGCAAGCATGGCAAGCATGACAAGAAGGGGGCGAAGGGTAAAGGGAAAGATGAGGAGGAAAAGGGCCATGCTCAGACCGAAGAAATGCAAGAAAAACTTACTTCGGCCGTGTTGACGGGTGTGAATCGGGCGTATCCGTTTACCAGTTCGGATAGTGATAGGTACGTTTTTGCAATTATCAGTTTGGCCGGAACTACTGATGCTAATTACATCCAGGCTTTCCAAGCATATCGACACCTTGTTCCGGATCACCCATTCCTCCAACTTCAACACCAGCATCCAAGCGCTCATGTTGATCCAGCAACTGACGCTCTCTCACCAAATCGGAACTGACCGTTTCTACCGCACTTTGTACGAGTCTCTTCTTGATCCCCGTGTCGCTACGTCGTCCAAACAGTCGTTGTACTTGAACCTGCTGTTCAAGGCCTTGAAGAACGACATGAACGTCCGACGTGTCAAGGCGTTCGTGAAGCGCATTGTCCAGGTCCTGGGAATGCACCAGCCAGGTTTCATCTGCGGCGTCTTCTATCTGATCCGCGAGCTGGAGAAGACCTTCGTTGGTCTCCGGACCTTGTATGAGCAGCCCGAAGACAATGACAGTGACGAGGAGGAAGTGTTCAGGGATGTGCCTGATGAAGATGACGAACCGCAAGTCGTCAACGAAGCAGCCGACTCTAAGCCGAAAAAGCCGACCAATGGTTATGACCCGCGAAAGCGCGATCCCGAGCATAGCAATGCTGACAAGACATGCTTGTGGGAATTGGTGAATTTTCCCTTTTTTTTAACCCCCTCTCTTACTATGACATGTACTAACTATGTTGGCAGCTGCCTTATATGTCGCATTTCCATCCCTCCGTGTCCGTCAACGCGTCCCATCTGCTTGACAACCAGCCCATGAGCGGCAAGCCCGACATGACCCTGCACACGTTGACGCACTTCCTTGACCGCTTTGTGTACCGCACGCCCAAGGCATCGGCCGCCACCCGTGGGTCTTCCATCATGCAGCCCCTTGCAGGCAGCGAGGCGAAGGACCGCCTGGTGGCTTCGGGCAACAACGCGCAACACATACCGCTCAACTCGGAGGCCTTCTGGAAGAAGAAGTCCGAGGATGTGGCCGTCGAAGACGTCTTCTTCCACGAGTACTTCAACCGTGTCGGCAAGGACAAGGACCGGGCCCGGAGCAAGAAGTCCAAGGACGCTGTCGACCAGGACGAGGAAGGCGCCGACATCGGCAGCGACGCCGAGTCGGAGATCTGGAAGGCTCTGGTGGACTCTCGACCCGATGTCGAGGGCCCCGAGGACAGCGACGACGACCTCGACATGGACGACCTCGAGTCTGCCTACGATCAGAGCGACGACGACGAGGAAGCTGGCGACGACGACGAGGTCATCTTCAACGACGAGTCGGACGCCGATATGGACGAACTCGAGGACGAGGACGAAGAGCCCGAAGCCCCGAAGCCGGCCCCCAAGGCCAAGAAGGAAGCCAAGTCCAAGAAGGCCGCCAAGGAGGAATTCTCCGAGGAGGAAGAAGACGACTTCGACATGGATGTTTCCGACGACGGGGCCTTCCTCGAGAGCGACGAGGACCTGCCGTCGGACGTGGAACTGTCGGGCGGAGTGGAGCTTCCCAAGGACGAGCCGTCGGACCGGAAGAAGAAGCGCAAGCTCAAGCATCTGCCTACGTTTGCTTCGGCCGACGACTATGCGGCTCTGCTGGCTGGGGAGGACGAGGGGATGTAAGCCGGAATATTTGGGTTTCTATATCATTTCTTCTAGTACTACTGTCTATATACAATTTTATTGCAGATACCATCAAAAGCTACAGTTGATTTCACGTTCATCCTTTCGCTCCCTTAAGCCAACCCTGATCATCCACCCGTCGCAACAATTCTCCTAGTAGATCTGGATATCTGACCCGCTATCAATAACCAAACCATCAAGCAAGGAGGCCCCCACACGAAGCACCAAGTAAGCAGACAGGCAACGTGTCTCATCACGTGCCGTAATAATCTTCAAGCAAGGGATATACAAATATAAGCATGAGCACACTGCCTTGTCCAAAGTAATGAGTAGTAGACCCTTTCCCGGTGATCGACAGTGTAAAAAGCCACTCAGCTTACTAGGGCTTACTGGGGGGACTGGGAAGGAATCCTGCACGACCTGCATTAGTTGCTTTGCTAAGATGTCCACGTTAGCGAGCCGTCCATTGCCTTGAGATAGATGTCTTTGAAGATTGCGTATGGATTATGCAGGGTAGTTAGTTAACTATGTGTGGGTATGTTGGAATGATATCACTCCTCAGCCCCCACCTTGCCCTCTCAGTAAATAGGTATGTAGGTAGTGTAATCAGTCCCTGTCACTGGGTATGATGTTATATTTGGGGTATAGTGGTAATGTAGCAGTCACTACTCCGCATTATCATTATTTTCAATTGATTTTCTTTTTTCTGTCTTTACGGCTTTCTTTCTTTCTACCCTTTTCGCAACAGCCATAAACGTCACTTCGGAGTATCAACCTAATCTCGAAAGACCACCAGTATCTAGAACCCCACGTCCCTGTATCTTATCAAGAAGACGATAGTGGTACCGGGCCGTGGAGTATATCTATCCGCCCTCAAAACTCAGGGCACCAGGTCCGCGAGACGGAGACGGGCGGAGAAGAAAAAGAAGACATGGAATGGAATCACGCCATATGTTAGTGCATAGCGTGCCTTGAGTTTAATGGGTGGATAGTGCCTCCTATTAGGTTCAAGGTTTGCTTTTGTGGAGAAATGGAGTGTTTGAATTTTTATTTGGGGGGGCAGTTATCTCAGGCGTTGATTGATCACGACAGCTTGCACTGCAGACTGTGTATGTACCGTTCAGTAAATGCATGGATCATGGAATCTTTCTTTCCATCCCAGGACACCCTACCTGGTAGGTACTAGGTAATGAATCAAACGTACATCTCGGCTAGCCACACATCCACCATAAGAGCTAAACCAATGAACAGATCACGCACGAGTCGGGTGATTACATCCATGACCTGACTGCATTAGGTAAACCTTCAACAACCCAAATAAGTGTATCGGTCATGACCCTGGCAGGGGAGGAAGGGGAGGAAGGGGAGTGTTGGTTGTCCCTAGTACGTGGTACCTGTACCTGTAACTGTGCCTAGCAGAGCTTCCAGGCCAAGATCTAGAAGCGTTTGCCCGGACGGATGCGGGACCAGCGCCATCATGGAACGGAGATTCCGACCGTTGGTTCCGCTGGTCTGATGGGGGCGGTGATTGGCTGCGGAGATGGTCATGGTTGCAGCTGGGGACTGGGACCTATTAGGTTGGGATAGGGGAGAGTGGGGATCCGCTTCTGCCCCTCTAGACCCACCAGTCCGTTCAGATGGCTAACCCGATCGCATTGATCAAATTTCGTTGCACTTTTCTTTTCTTTTCAGAGGAAGATATTGGATCAAATATTATGATTGTCGCTAAGCACTGAGTTGGTCAAAGAATCAGGATATCTTGAAGTTTAGTCTATCATTTCTGGTCTGGGATATCAAGCAAGATGGATCGGCTGCTCCGGATTGTAGTCCAAACAAGCTACCCACCTAGGTATGTTACTTTCTCATTAACTTCAGGGATCAGGTGCATTTGGTTCTATCACTATCCCTTACCTAATTGTCAGGGCCACGGTACCGAATAACGACATCCTGAACCTCCAGTCCCTCCAGTGCAGTCTACGAGATCATCACTCTCGTGGAAGCTTGGATGCGACGTCATGGGCTTTTCTGGATGGGTGACGAGGGACAGGGATTTGATAATTCCAAGACCTAGATCTATCCAACCATGAAGTGAGATCAAAGGAAGAAAGAAACTCGTTCAGATGAAAGTGTGACAGGATGATGAGAATCCAGGTTGCTGATTGCGTCTGGGGAGACTCCGAAAGCAGCGACTGCCGAATCGGGTAAGTCTCGTCCTGAGGCCAGTGAGGTACCTCAGGCCCTGATCGGAGACCCCGATCAGATATTATTTATTCCTCAGTTAGTGTACATAATAATACTCCTGATATCAAGTAAAGAGATTAATATGTTCAGTCAATGATTGTCTTCCTGTTGACTCAGCCATCCTTCATCCACTCAACCAGTTCGATCTTCAGATCCGCCTCTTTCTTTCCTCTTTTTCTTCCCTCAAATCAAGCGTTTTCTCTTATTTGCCTCTCGCTTGGCTGGAGTCTTGTCTCTCTCTCTGCACTCGGTAAGCCAAGACGCCCCGACTCAGCCCGTCCAGCCCATCCAGCCCATCCGTCCCCCACGCTCGGTGTCTGGGGCCCTCTCTGCAACTGCGTCGCCAATCCGCTACTCTCATTGTACCAACTAGTCTGGAGCTAAATGTCCAGAGATCCATCCTTCTGATTCTTAGTTCCTTGGTTAATTATTATCTTTTTTTTCTTTTTTCCCGGTTTCTCTTTTCTTTGCTTTTCCTTTTTCTCAGACGATTTCCCTTCTCACCCAAATCACTTCATCGGAAACTCTCCGGGTCGCTTCGCTTTCTGTCTCCTCTCGTCCCCTCACACCGTCATCGTCGTCGGGATTCCACCTCCCTGCTAATCTAAGAGGGCAAAAAGAAGATCGAAAAAGCAACAGAGGCCGTTCATTTGGTCGACCTCCATTCGATAAAAGATAGTAGTTAATATCCAGCCGGTTCCATACCTCGTTGTTGTTCGCCGTTTCTCGACAGATCAGAAGCAGTACATGCATCCGAAGGTCTGCGACGTCTCTGTCTTTTTGTACTCCACCGTCTCCTTCCACCTGCGGTTGGTCCGCTCGTTAAAATGGCGGCGTCAGAACCCAAGGGCGAGGACCAGCGCTCTCATACCTCGGAGCGCCAGTCTTCCTCCGCCTCCGAGAATGGCGACCCGCCGCTGTGCAAGTCTAAGCTAGATCCCGAAAGTCAGATCCCCCAGGGCGCCATCAATTCCGATTCCGAGTCCGGGGATGTCGGCCGTCAGATTGAGTTGGAGGCCGGTAACTCCATCAAATACCGCACCTGTAGCTGGCAAAAGGTGTGTATCATCCGAGATTGCCCATCTTGACACAGTATGGGACCACTCTGGCTAACCGATCCGAAAGACTGCAGCGCTGCTGTTTTCCGAATATATCTGCCTCGCCATGATGTCGTTCCCGTGGTCGTATTCCATATTGGGGTTGGTTCCGGGGCTGATTTTGACCATCTTTGTCGCCGGTGTGGTGCTCTACACGTCTCTGATCATCTGGTACGTCTCTCTCCGTGGTCGGATAGTGGTGAGACTCGATATTGACCCCCGATCAGGCGATTTTGTCTGCGTCACCCCGATGTCCGTGACGTGTGTGACATTGGGCAGTATCTCTTCTGGGACTCGAAGATCGCTTGGTATTTCACCGCCATGATGTTCCTGTTGAACAATACCTTCATCCAGGTACCGTATCCCGACACTATCTTCTTTCTCCTTGTTGTGGAGGTTAATTGAAACAGGCATTGCACTGCTTGGTCGGCGCCGAATGGTTCAATACGGTCACCGGCCACGGATCCTGCACCATCATCTTTGCCCTGGTGACGGCCATCATCTCCCTGGTCTGTTCGCTGCCGCGGACGTTCAGCACCCTGTCCCAGATCGCCACGTTCTCGGCGTTGTTCACCTTCATTTCCGTGCTGCTGGCCATGATCTTCGCGGGCATCGAGGGCAAGCCGGCCGGCTACAACGACAAGGATGGCCCTCCCGTCTTCTTGGCCTTTCCCGCCCCTGGGACGACCTTCGTTCAGGGTCTCAATGCATTTTTGAATATCAGCTACACCTTCATCGGTCAAATCACCCTTCCCAGTTTTATTGCGGAGATGAAGGAGCCCCAGGACTTCTGGAAGTCCGTCACGGCCGTCACCATCGCGGAGGTCATTCTTTTCAGCCTCGTCGGATCCATCGTCTATGTGTACACCGGAAACCAGTACATGACGACCCCCGCATTCGGCTCTCTGAGCAATGAGATATATAAGAAAGTGTCCTTCTCCTTCATGGTACCGACCCTCATCTTCCTGGGTGTGCTGTATGCGTCCGTATCGGCCCGCTTCATCTTTTTCCGCATCTTCGATGGCACCCGCCACAAGGGCAATCATACGGTGGTCGGATGGGCCACCTGGACGGGGATCCTGGCCGTCCTGTGGATGCTCGCCTTCGTCATCGCCGAGGTGATCCCGTTCTTCCCGGACCTGCTCTCCATCATGAGCTCTCTGTTCGATTCATTCTTCGGCTTCATCTTCTGGGGTGTCGCTTACATCCGTATGAGACGGGCCGACCACGGACCCCACTTCTACCGGAAGCGTGGCATCCGCGGCTGGGTCGGTCTCATTGTCAATGTATTCCTGATTGGCGTTGGGTTTTTCTTCTTGGGTCCCGGAACCTACGTAAGTTTCCTCTCCACCGCTTATCGTGCAAGGGGGAAGATGCTAATCCTGGCTTCTGCAGGCTTCCGTGATGGCAGTGATCCTAAACTACCGAGCAGGAACTGTCGGCGGCCCCTTCTCATGTGCCGATAACGGTTTGTAATGATGCCCCTGACGATGTGATGTTATTCTTTATGTTCTGTCTGTCTTGTGATCCTTTTTATCTTGCGTTCCATGCTCCTTCCATGTTCGGGATGGGTTAATGGAGGTGTGGATCGTCCACCGGACGGAGGCGCCCTGGAGATTCTGTTTCCCCTTTTCAAGATCGTGTCCATGATAGACGATCTGTGTGCGCGTGCTTTTCTATGTAACCGGTACTTTGTACCACTGCCCGCAACCCTCCTCCCTAACCCAGGTGGGGAGGGTCCCATTGGATACCATATACCCGTCGGTCCCCGTGATGTAAGCTTTTACTTTCGATGGTGATGAACACCACGAAAGGGCGAACACGCTTTGAGAGACCAAACCCAATGCAACCGACCCATCTGTCGACCACGCATGCCATGCTTTTGGTCCGGAAAACTACCCTAGTCTTCTGGGGAAGACGCCTCTTATAGATTATAACCCCTCGTTGCACATAGTGATGTAGAGATGTTTAGATCGAAGGTTATCGGGTTAGAGATTAGTCTATAGAATAGAGGGATGGAGAGGGTGGGATAGAAGGATGGATTGCTGTGGAGGAAGAGGATGAGAAGACAATGGGTGACATATACTATTTTCAACCCTGTCAGAAGCTGCACTTGATCGTGCTTCTGCAGATTATCGACCCCCTTGTTTCGGAGGACGAAAAGCAGCAACAGCAGTCATCTTTCTATCCACATGTGAGCACCCGCATCTCGTCGTATATAATTCGTTGAATGCACAGTTAGGGTTCCCAGAGCAAGAACCCAAGCCGGTTAGTGGCGATGACTCAAGGGCGTTAGTACCTAACTAACCCCCGCTGTTCTAGTACGAGTGAATGACCCTCAGTACACATCCTATGGACACTATAAACCCAAACCCGCCAGACAAGTATGCACCAACATCACCATGAGTGAAAGAAATCCCGAGCTACGCTTCCCATCTCCTAAAGTCCCGCCTCGGTTCTTCAAAGCATGCCGACACTGCAGAAAGCAGAAGATGCGCTGCGACGCACGCCATCAGTTACCGTGTTCTCGATGCCGCTCTACCGGCCGAGACTGTATTCTCGATACTATCGAAAATGAGGACGGAACGCGACGTAGTGGGCGTCAGAAGGCTGCTGCTGCTGCGCATTCGCAGACACGGTTGGTGAACCCCGGTTGTACGACAGTATTACTTCCTATTGACACTACGTCTAGGCGACAGCGGCTAGCTAGTTCGCCCTGGGAACAACAACAGCAGCAGCAGAGTCACTCTCGGACGCCTTCGTCGAGAGAAATGGACTATTCTCCGGTTTCTGGACGAGACGCTGGTGTAGAAACGACTCCCATGGATGGAGTGGACGAGCTCCAAACATCTCAGACCGATCAGCCCGGTCCGGAATCCCAGCAGTTGAATCCTAGCGATATGATGGCGCCGGTTTCTGTTGTGCACTCGATGTCGGTCAACCTTTTAGGATCCAGTAATGTGCGTTTAGTTCCACCCCGACCTAACCTGACAGCAGGTTGTTGGTGTTTGCTAAAACCTGCAGATCTTCATGGAGAACTTGTCCAGGACAGATCTGGACAGCGACGTCATCGCTCGAGGTATAATCAGCGAAGAGCGTGCGCGAGTGATGTACGAGCGGTATGTAGACTCCCAACGTCCTTCACAATCATCCAGGTATAATTTATTTTGTAGGTTCATGGGCGGAAGCAAGAACTTTCTACCTCTGTTCGACCCTATCCGCGACACCTTCGACTCCATCCGCTCGCGGTCCCTTTTCTGCTTCTCAGTGATCATGTACCTAGCCAGTCGCGCAGCAGTGGAAATGCGCAGCGACACGCACCTACAGCGCGTCCTTCAAGACGAAGCGCAGCGCCTGGCGGAGGATAGCTTTTTCGAGCGCCCGACAAAGGTAGAGACGGTGCAGGGCATGGTGCTACTCGCAGCGTACTCTGAAAAGACGTGGTTCTCCACAGCCCTGATCTTGCGCACTGCGTTGGACTCGGGGCTCGAGAAGTCCCTCGACCGCTTGCTGTCGCAGGAGAACGTCCCGCGGAGCTCTCTGTCGGCGACTATGGAAGACCGCAAGCTGGTGTGGCAGACGAGGACGTGGCTGATTAGTTTTACGCTGGAGCTGGATGTCGCATCTGGCACGGGGCGCAAGTCTCGTATCGCGGAGGTGAATGTTGCTAAGTTGCGCAAATTTCTTGAGTATCCGCTGTCGCTTCCGTGTGATATGCGGACGGTGTCTATTATAGAGATTCATCAGCTGCGTGGTGGGTCTATACCTCTCAGGCTATAGTAGACCGCGAACTGACTCGTTCTAGGGCAGTTTCGTGTGATCATCGAGAACTCAATGACGATCCACGACATTGTCGCGACGCATCTACCGGCGATCATGACGAGACTTCAGACATGGTGGACGACGTGGGATGAACTCCACGATAGTGAGCCGTCCCTTGATTTACGACAAACATTATACAGACTAATGCGTGGCCTATCTAGGCAATGGATTCCACGCGAGAGCCTTCCAGCGCTGCAGCCTCAAGCTCATGCTTAACTACGCCAAGATCTTCGTCTTGTGCTCTTCCTTAGCTCGGATCCAGAAATTGCAGTCTAGCTCTGATGCAGGGGAAATGGGAAATGACCCAGAAGCTACGAATCTGTGGCCATCGCTCGTGACCACCATCATGGACCAACTATCCTTTTGGATCATGGAGACATCCTACCGCTATCAATTCCCGTGGGCGCCAACATATCCAGCTCTGACTGTCGCCTTTATCAGTGAGTAACCCTAGCTTCTCACCTAGCCAGAAAGACTCAACCGATTAATTCACTCTAGCAACATTCGCACTCCGAATCGCCCGCTGGCGCCCCTCCCTAATCGACCAACCCCAGCTCCTAGAAAAAGCAGAAAAAATTTGCGACTACCTAAAGCAGCCCCCCTATCCAGACATCCACCGCGCCGTCTCCCTCTTCGTAACATACGCACGAGCCCTCATCTCCAACCAGTGTCTTCATCCCGACAGCACAGACATATCAGACCAATGCGTTGGCCAGGAATCATCCGGCGCCAGAGAACCAGACCTATCCCTAATGAACCTCCCCCCTCCTCCTCCTGCTGCCGCTGCTCCTCCTCGGGACCCACCACCAGTAGACTGCCAGGGCCCTATGACGGGGCCCACTATCGCGCAGACCGACAAAGACGCCGCGAGCAACCCAGCGAATGACAGGGCTGTGCCTCCTCTCCGGACCCCCGTGCAGGGCTTACCGGGGACAGTGGAATTTCCGAACTGGACGCTGTCGAATTCGATTGCGGATTCGTTTGGGCTGTTTGAGGAGGAGCAGAATGATATTTTTGATTTTTTGCCTGTTATGCCGGGTATGCCTCAATAATATGGTCGACTTGTTTGGACTTTTGGGAAAGGGCAGAGTGATAAGGTATTTTAGCTTTTGACTTATCATGCTGTCTATGCGCATGACAGACGAGGAGAAGCTGAAGCTCGGATACAGCGGCTGATCCCGATAATCCACACATACAAAGTATACATCATAATGAAGATAAACAGCGCAAAAGCATCATCCCCTGACACATGTGTAGCTCAAACCTGACAGATCAACTCGATACCTGCATTATCGTGACTCCTTCCGAGTCCCAGTCTAGGTCTAGGTTCCGACTCGGACGCACGGTCCAATAACCAGCCCAGCCAACGCAGGTCAAAAGACACATGCACCTTGTCGGTACCCAAAAACACCAATCCCAAGAACGCCGTCAGTGTCCGCACGGTGTGAAACTAGCTACGTAAGGTCGGTCTCGACCAGATCGACAACCGGAGCCGTGATGTAGTCCGCGTTGAACAACCGGCGCCGGACCGGCCCCGGTCCTTTCCCCCATGTCGGCGGGAACTGAGGGCCTTGACAGCCACTCGTGCGCGTGCATTCCTGCGACGTCAGAAATTTTCCGCTGAGTATCTCGGAGATTCCTGCAGGAAAGGATTACATAGCTATGATTATCATTATGACTATGACTCAGTGTGCGCCGGTTTATGGGATCCCCACTTGCCGTTTGCAGGGCTATATAACGCGCGGCTGGTATGCTGGTCGTTTGGGGATCGGTTCAGGAAGGTTGAGCATGGGATATTAGGGAATGAATGAATGTTTATTCGGACGCTGCTTTGTTTCAATTACTTACTTATTTGATTTAAGAAGTATTTGTTTAGGTGGACAGTATGGTTTCGGAGAAGAAAGTTGGTGAGACGCTCTCGTCGGTTGTGCCTGTTTCCCCGGGTATGTGACGATCTATATACTCCCGTCTGCCGGCTACTATACTGACTGTACCATAGGTAGTGAGAGTCCTCGTGGGGAATCGGTTTCCTCCCTTCACTCCGAGCAAAGAAGTCCACAGGCAGACGATAATGATGGATATCAATTGATTGAATTAGGCGACGGCCATGTCCTGGTCGAGTTCAGTGACGGGTCTATCAAGAACCCGAATAATTGGTCTACAGTGCGTGCCATCCCCCCCCCCACCCCAATTAACCAACTCATCACTAGATATACTAATAGTATGTCTTGCACAACCAGGGCAAAAAAACATACATGGTCCTCGCAGCCCTATTCCTCGTCATGAACAGCGGCATCTCCGCCTCCCTACCCAGCAACTGCGTCCCGGCCATCATGGAAGAGTTCCACATCCAAGGCAAGGGCCAGAACGTGCTTCCCACGGCGATCTTCCTAATTGGATACGTGGTTGGCCCGTTGGTGCTCAGTCCGCTGAGCGAGACTATCGGACGAAGGCCCGTTCTATCTTGGACGCTCACGGCTTTCGTGTTGGGGACGCTGGCTTGCGCTCTGGCGCCGAGCTGGGCCTCGCTTCTTGTCTTTCGGCTGGTGTGTGGGCTTGCTGGCGCGGCGCCGCAGACGGTTGTGGGGGGGTTGTATGCGGATTTGTTTGATGATCAGAGGACGAGGGGGAGGGTTATGGCTTTTTATATGGCGGTATGTTAGGCCTGCATATACTACTTTCGGGGCTAATGTGCAAAAAGGCATCCAGCTTTGGGCCTATTATTGGCCCAATTATTTCAGGATTCGCCGTCCAGTACGGCTGGCGCTGGACGTTCCGTATTGATGTTATCCTGGCGGGTTGCTGCTGGCTTTATCATCTCTTCATGTCGGGTGAGTATTCTTGCTGAGGTACCACCGGTCTGGACTAACGTTACCGTGTAGAAACGTTCGCACCGGCCATACTCAAGAAGCAAGCAGCGAAGCTGAACAAAGTGTCTGGGTCAACGTGCCATGTCTCTAGGAAGCAGTTGCAGGCTATCAACGCCAAGTCTAGCTTTGTCCAGACCTTTACCCGGCCCATTACTATGCTTGTCACCGAGCCTATTGTGCTATGCAGTTCGATATACATCGCTCTCGCGTATAGTCTGATATTCTTCTACTTTCAGGCTTATCCGATTATTTTCCAGCGTATGTTCTATACTCTACTTTCATGGGACGAATCACTGACTATCATAGAAACCTACAACTTCGACGAACAGAGCACATCGCTTGCTTACATACCTAGTACATCCTTCCCATGTTCCCCAACCCTCTATATCCCATACTAACCAACCTAGTGGGCATCGGCGCCGTCTGCTCGGGCCTATTCACCTTCTACTACGACACGATCTACGAAAAAGCCAAAGCGCGCGGCAAGCCCTGGACCGCCAGCCCCGAAATGCAGCGCCTACCACTCTCCTGCATCGCAGGACCGTGCCTAACAATCAGCCTCTTCTGGCTAGCATGGACCGCCAATCGCAGCGTACACTGGATGGCACCCGTTCTCTCAGGTCTTCTGTTCGGCCTCGGATATCAAACGATCTTCATCTCGCTGCTCACGTACGTCACGGACGCGTACCGCATCTACTCGGCTAGTGCGCTGGCCGCGTCTGTCATCCTGCGCAGTATTGTGGGGGCGCTGTTCCCGCTGGCGGCGGATCCGCTGTATGCGTCGCTTGGGGTCGCGTGGGGGACTTCTGTGGTGGGGTTTATTAGTGTGGCTTGTGTGCCGATTCCTATGGTGTTTCTTTATGCTGGGCCGTGGATACGGAAGCGGAGTCGCTTTTGTCAGCGGTTGTTGAGGGAGGATGAGGAGATGAAGGGGATTGTGGGGGGAGTTAGGGGGGTGAGAGAGGTGTGAACTGATTGGGAGAGTGGATGTTATGATAATGACTATAGATTGACACGTATAGATAGAGGTTGGATAGGATAGAGTAATGTGTAATGAGACTGAGTTTATATATCCCACCAGCTCTTCTATAGTATATACTGCATAATAATAATGCATGTATCTGACTCATCAGCCGAGGTCCCTCGGTTTGTTCCGTTCAGCCCCCGCCAATCAAACAGAGACAATCCGATCATGGAGAATCGTGGATCCTCTTCGCCCCCAAGACTCCATCTCCGTCCTCAAAGGCTCCGCCGTCGCCAGGTAGCCTCTCTTTCGTTTGCCATTCTTTGCACCTGGTTGGCTAGCCTTTCTCTTTTTGTCTCGCCCTCTCCGTCCAGCATCCTGACTGGGTAGTCGATAAATCGTCCCGGGGTCTCGAACCATCTCACCTCAGTCTTATACCCGACCCGTCTGCCCGGTGACTTTTTTCGTTCGCCTCGTGCGTCCACTGTCACCATGGCGTCGCGAGTCTTAGTTTCCAGATGTGTAGCCTCCGCCGGGTCTGGGTCCGGCTCCACTGTGAGGGCTTGTCTACCGCCGACTAAATCTCAATGGTTTGTGGCTCCGGGTTCGACGTGGTTCGCTCAACCGCTCAACGTTTCGCGTAGATCATACTCTTCCGGTTGGTGATGCCTCTTTCCTCCTCTCCTTTCCTCCCTACTCTACCGAGACCAGTTCTAGCATTGTGCTCACTCAGCCGACTACACCAGCCTCAAGCATAACCCCCCCTCCCACACCCAAACCGCGATCCCGTTTCCGCCGCTTCATCGGCTTCACCTCGATCGCCGTCCTCGCCTTCTCCGCCGGCCTAGCCTACCAGACGCAAAAGACCGTCTCGCGCATGATGACAGTCGCCGTCGTCCCCACCGACGAAGACACCCTCAACGGGTTCCACCCGGTCGACGACTTCACCCAGCAAGTCGACGAGCACATCCGCACCCACCCACTAGCAGAGTCATTGCGGAAGAACCCCGCCTTCAAGGAATCGCGTCCACACCTGAAGATCCCGGAGGAACTGCGCGCACGCAGTCTCACGGCAGGCACGCTCGCACGACCCGACGGCATCACCGTCCCGCCTTACATCTTCTGCGAGGCGGGTGGCAAGAGCCTCGTTTCCATCTTCTACCTGGGGTCCAGTGTTTCAGGACACCCCGGTATCGTGCACGGCGGCCTGCTGGCCACGCTGCTGGATGAGGGCCTCGCCCGTTGCTGTTTCCCGGCCTTGCCGAACCAGGTCGGCGTCACGGCGAACCTGAATATCGATTACCGCCGGCCTGCGATGGCGGGTACCTACCACGTTCTGCGGGCAGAGACGGTGAGGGTTGAGGGCCGCAAGGCTTGGGTGGAGGGTCGGATTGAGACGCTGCCTGAGGAGGGGCAGGAGCCGATCGTTTTGGCGGAGGCGAAGGCTCTGTTTGTGGAGCCTAAGCAAGCTGCGGTATGTTTTCCCCCTTCTTTCTGTTGTATTGAGTTTTGTGGCTGACGATTGTGTGTGCAGGCTATGGCCGCTCTCTCCAAGATGGCCAATTGATTATGTGAATAGATGAGCTGCATGGGGTCTCATGATGGAGACCGATATACATGTTCGTCGTTGGATTAGACTTGACGATAGACATGGTTGTATAGGTCTACGGTCTATATTTTGAAGATACGATCTTTTTATTATCTGTACATACTTGTTAGAGATGCATCATATTATACATATTTCTCATATCTTATTCAACATATCTGGTGGACATTTTCAATTGTTATAGCTATAGTACGGAGTACTACGGAGTAGAATAGTGGTAGTGCCACCGAATCCAGACCGCCTGCGGGTCCGCCTCCCGCCGCAGCTCCAACAGCGGAATAGCAACTCTCACCCCGACATAGGTTAGCTATACTCCGACCACATCAGCTCCCCACCTCATATACCTTCACATTACACCCCTACACCCTATGCCCGCCCCCTGAGCGCGGCAATCTCCATATCTCCTTCTATCCAACGATTTAGGATAAACCATCATGTCCAAAACAACCAAATACCTCCTCGTCTCCCTCCCCACCTCCATCACCCCCTCCCACCACCGCGACGACGCCCTCGACGCCGTCTCCGCCACAGTCGGCTCCGACAACGGCTCCGTTGCGCCCTTCCCCATCCCCGAGTTCAAGATCGGCACCCTCGATGCCCTGGTCCAGCAGGCGGACGAGCTGGCTAAGCTCGAGGCCGGCTGCCAGGCTGTCGTGACCAAGGTCAGCGATGCGCTGAAGAATGTTTTGGATGGTGATGCGGGGCAGATTGAGAGGGCGAAGGTTGTTAATGATAGTATGTTTTTCTTCTTCGTTGCTTGTCCAGAGGGGGAGGGGTAAGGAGGGGGTTGGCTAACGATGGGAACGCAGAGCCGGTGGATCAGTATCTGCGGACGTTTGCGTGGAATAAGGTTAAGTATCGGGCGGATAAGTCGCTGAAGGAATTGATTGATTTGTTGCAGAGGGTGGGTTTGGACTTTCATAGGAGGAGTCTGTTGTCTGTCTGTCTAACGGGTCACAGGAAGCAGCGAGTATCGATAATGATATCCGGTCGAAGTACTCCCAATATAACCAGGTGAAGAATACGCTGGCGTCGCTGCAGCGGAAACAGACGTGAGCTGATTCCTCTCTTATATATTATTTGGCATTGTAACTAACTGGTCAGCGGCAACCTGTCTACCAAATCCCTCGCGTCCGTCGTCGATCCCCGCTCCCTCATCCAAGATTCTGAGTACATCGAGTCGCATCTGGTAGCCGTGCCCGCCCAGCAAATCAAGGAGTTCTTGAAAACCTACGAAACCGTAGCGCCGATGGTGGTGCCACGGTCAGCGACGCTGGTCGCCTCCGACAACGACTTCACGCTGTACGCGGTGACGACGTTCAAGAAGCACAGCGCGGAGTTTGTGCACCGGGCGCGCGAGCACAAGTGGATCCCGCGGGAGTTCAAGTACGTGGAAGGCGGCAAGGAGGAGGAGCGACGGGAGGTGGAGCGCGTGGGCGGCGACGAGCGCAAGCTCTGGGGCGAGACGCTGCAGCTGGGTCGGACCGCCTGGAGCGATGCCGTCATGGTCTGGATGCACGTGTTGGTGCTGCGGGTGTTTGTTGAAACCGTGCTGCGGTATGGGTTGCCGCTGGATTTCGTGTGCACTATTATTCGGGTATGTTTTTTCTTATTGGGAGATGGATTGGAAGGAAATGGCTAACAGTGATAGACACCCAATGCGAAGCAGGCGGACAAGGCCAAGCACAACATGGACGAGAAGTACTCGTACCTGGCAGGGAATGCGTTCGGGCGGGACAAGAAGGGACGGGTCAAGCGCGACGACCCGCATGAGATGTCTGCGGGAGGCGAGGGGCATGCGGAATACACTGCGTATGTGTATTATGAGTTTGCATTCAACTAGGCAACCAGACAGGGGGTGATGTTGGTGGGTTGATACCACAATTGACAGCGTATGCATGATTTACAGCACTGATATATAAGTATGATGAATTGGGCCATAGATAGGCAGTATGTACAGAGACAAGGTATATAGCAAAATCCTGCACCAAACCTCCATCTATCAAGGCAGATCTATACATGAAGATAAACAACAACAACAACAACAACAACAACTGTAAAACTCAAAACCACAACCAAGAAAGAAAGGAATCTACTCCTTCTTAGGCGGCAAGTACCCCTTCGAATCAAGGTACTCAATAATCTGCTTCACAGCATCCTGGACAGGCAACTCATGGTTCTTGATATGCACCTCCGCCCTCTCAGGCGCCTCATACGGGGCCGAGATGCCCGTAAACTCCTTAATCACACCCTCACGGGCCTTCTTATACAGACCCTTGGGATCCCGCTGCTCAGCAACCTCGACGGGGACATCAACGTAGACCTCCACAAACGGCAGTCCCGTATCCTCACCAGGGGTAGGGACCTCATGCAGAGCGCGCGCAGTGTCCCGGTCCGCCTTGTAAGGCGAGATAAACGAAGTGATCGCGATGGAGGCGCTGTCCGCGAAGAGCTTAGCGACCTCCGCGATGCGGCGGATGTTCTCGTTGCGGTCCTTCTCGCTGAAGCCGAGGTCTTTGTTGAGGCCGAAGCGCACGTTGTCGCCGTCGAGGCGGTAGGCGGAGACGCCGCGCTCGCGGAGCAGCTGGTGCTCGAGCTCGACGGCGATGGTGGACTTGCCGGAGGCGGAGAGGCCGGTCAGCCAGATTGTGAGGCCGCGTTGGTTGCGGAGGGTGCTGCGCTCGGCGCGGGTGAGGGCGCTGGCGTGGTAGGTGATGTTTCTGTTTTATTAGTGTTGTTAGTTTTTATGTATATTATAGATTATATATATATATATATATATATATATATTGTTGGGGTTGTGGTTGAGCGTACGTGGCCATTTTGAAGGTGTTGTGTAGGTGTAGGTGTAGGTGTATAGTAAGTGTATGAGAGGGGAAGAGTATGAAGAGTGAAGAGGGAAAAGGAGAATTGTGGCGGGCGGCGGACGGCTGAAACAAGCGGGGCTGTCGCGGGGAGTTTCTTTGGTATTTTACCCTCCAGTCTACCCTATCTATTCTCACTATATGTGGAACATCTGAACAGGCTACTTCTGACATATATTACCATATACTATTTCTACTCTGTCTAAAACCACGTACGATTCATGTAACTATTCTTCATGTCTCTATCTGTATAGTTCATACCTATCAAGATAATCGGCCCAAATTCGGACACACTTCCAAGCAAACCCAACAATCCAACAAATCCAAAGGTTATAAGTTTGGTCCGCTGATTCATCACCAATCAATCCCCATCCGGATCCACGATTTGACGCCATTCATTCCAGTATTTCATCCCCTCACTATTTATATCTGTTTATCCACCGAGATTCGTGGTCTGTCCGACGGTCGATCCTTCATCCCTCCACAGTCCATCCTGCACCGAGCACCACCACTCGGTGTTCTATATTGGGTCCTCTGAAAGACCGGTCCAGATTCTGGCCAGTTCCACTTCCTCCTCTAGTACACTCCGTCTCTCCCCCCGATAACCCCGCCTACTTTTATTCTATACTCAATTCTTCTTATACTTCCCTCCTCTTATACCTCTGACATCCCCACCATTCCTCAACCCAAACCATAAACCATAAACTATCCCACAAAAAAAGAACAAGAATAATCATAATCATAATGTCTACCCCAATCCCCACCGCAGAACTCCAATCCTCCCTCCGCCAACTCTCCATCGGCCGCAGCTCCCCAGCAGCAAAGGACATTCCCCGCCCAACAGTCCAAACCACCTCCCTCGTCAAAGAAACCGCCAAAAAGAACCACACCAAGTTGAAAAACAACAACAACAACAACCACCACCACCAGCAAAACCACATCGCCGACTCCTGGGAAGACGAACTCGACTCCTCCACCCCCTCCTCAGACGTCGAAGCTGACCCTTCCTCCGCCGCTCCCTCCGACATCCTCTCCCCTTCGCTAAGCGTCAGCGCTGAAGGACCGCTCGATCCCCCGCCGACGCCTATCTCCCCGCAAATCTCTAACTCCACTACCGCTCCTTCGGCGTCGTGGTCTGCGACCTCGCCACCCCGCTCGGGCTCGGATTCCCCGGTTTCGTCCGCGTCTAGGACACCTACGCCTACTTCTGCTGCTCCTCCTCATACTAGTACTGGAGAAAGGGGAGGGAGAGAAGGAGGAAATACCACCGCGCGCAGACCAGAGAAGCAAACAGCCGTAGCGGGCCGCTTAATCGCAGGAGCATTGGGCATCCGGGCCCCCAAGCGAACGGAGGAACAGCGGGCTTACGACCGCTCCGTCAAAGAGCAGGAGATTAGACGGCGGAATCGGGAGAAGGAGGCGGCTGAGAAGGTGCGGGAGGAGGAGGAGAGGGCGAAGGCTGCTGTTTGGGATGCTTGATTTGTCTTCTTTCTTCTTTCTTCTATCTTCTATCTTCTATCTTTTTTATTTTTGATTGATGGGATGCTTTGAGTGATTTTGTTTGGTTTTGCTTGTTAGGGAGGCTCTGTCTGATTTGGGTTCTGTATTGTGTGTGTGCATCTCTTTGTATATGAACTAGTATTGTTGTCTTCTTGTTTGCATTTCTCCGTTCGTCATTTTGTTTACATTTTTGTCTTTTGTCTTTATAGCATAAGTCAGGTCTGTACAATAATTCTACTCGTATTATATCGGTTACCTAGATGATGTGATATATGGTTGGTCGCTTATTATGAACATGAAAAGCAATGCTCAGTTCAAATGCAAGTTCAATTCATGACTATTTGCCTGTTCACAACTACTCCGTATGGCCAAATAGTGCAGTGCTCGTCTCTCCACCTATCCCCGCTGTAGGTACACCCGTGCGCCTAATCTCATATGCGGCAGGGGAAAGAAAGTAAAAAAAAAATTGGACTGGAAATCGTAAAGTAAAGGGACATCAAAAATAGAATACGAAGGGAAAAAAAACAAGGTGACAATTGTAGAGACGAGCAGCACAAGACAGACACACGACGGTAGGTATCAACGCAGTTTATTCAAGAACTGAACTCCAGAAACCAACGGTTCTGATGTCGTGACGTCTTGTCTTTCTTTCTTTCGTTCGTTTCTCGTTTTCGGTTTTGCTTTCTACCCGCCGATTTGCTCCTGGTGGACTTCGAGGGTGTCGCCGTCGGCCATTTCGAGCTGTAGGATAAGAGGTTAGTTCAATAGTCTAGAATGTGGAGACGATGTATCTGTAGTGTAGATCAAGTATGCGCGTGGATCGCGCGTACTGGGAGAAAGACGTAGAGCGCAGCTGGCTGGAAACCTAGGCAGAGATAGACGTACCGTATCGGGGGTATCTTCAGGTCGTACGCGAGTCCCGTCGAAGAGGAAGCGGACGGTCGACATCTGCTTGCCCTGTCTGTCGCAGAAAGCGTCCATCAACTTCTTGAGCTGCGTGGATCGCTTGATCTTGAAGAAGACTTCGTTGTTGTTGTCCGTGACCTTGATGTTCAAGTGCTCGACCGGCGCGGGGGCTTCTCCGGGGATGTTGTCGGAGTCGGCCATTTTGCGAGGTGTAGAGGTAGATCGGGAGTGGTTTGATGAGAGGTCTGCTGCGATGATGGGGGATGTCAGTCTTGCTGGTAGAAGTGAAGTATGGTGGTTGTCGCAAACATGAAGCCACGGGAGGGAGTGAGGGTCTAGAATTGGGTATACGTACTGGTTGAACTGGCTGATCAGCGCTGTCAGAATGAAGTATCTGGAGATAATCTGGCAGAGAAGAGAATCAAGAGAAAGGAACAGAAGAAGTGAATGTCGAAAGGTGAATATATGGTGTTGGGTTGGGAAGGCGGCGAATGAACCCCCACCAGTGAAGAGCGGCGGAGAATCTGTTTTTGCGGCGCAGGTCCAGCTTCTCTCTCTCTTCTCTCGCATGGAGAACAAGAGATGCTTCATTCAATGCTGAGACAATCTACATTCACTACTTCACTTTCTGACATTTGTTGTACTAGACTGTCTCAGGAAGACTGACTCCAGTTCCTGTCACTTACTTTATCTTTTCTGTTTGATTCCCCTTCAATTGGCCACATTTACCTCTCTCCTTGTCTTATTGCGTCATGGTAAGCATCCAGCTACTATGGAATTGACCGGAGATAACAGTTCAACTCTAGGGTTTGAAAGAAGATATCGCGTTTGATCCGCCTTGTCATCCACGAGCTGTATGTTTGTATTTTGATTTTGATTTTTTTTTTTTTATTATTTTTCTATGCTGTGTTCTAACAAATCCAGTGTGCCATCCAAGGTTCGACACCATGACTGCCTCAGGCTATTACTGCCTCAGGCAATCACTGACCGCACACAGCCTGCTTAACGAAAAACTCGTTCAACGAAGACAAATGCCAGGCACAAATTGATGCCCTGTACGAGTGCTGCAATGCTTTCTACCAGGAACGTGGAGACCAAGGCCAGACTCCAAGCTGTCCCAAGGCCAGTCTACTCCGACTGAAGATGAAGCAACGAGCCCAAGGGAACTGAAGAGTTTTCTCTTTCTCCCTGACCATATTTGCAGTCGACAAGTCTCTGTATAGAGCTGTGTATATAGCTGTGTAATTACTGGATAGAAGTGACTAGAGCAACTGTTGTGTTGTACTCATCAATCATCAGAATTCGTAGAAAATAGATGTGCCAATTCCCTTGCAGTCTGAACTCCCATATAGAGAGAGCTAGACTAATTGAAGAACTGCCATGACTGCTCTAAGACAATCTTGAGCACGCTGAGAGGCCGTTTTGACCTGAACGAAGATAGAGAAAACGATCGTTCCGAGACTCTAATGATTGCCTAATTGACATTGAAGAAGAAAAAAGAAAAGAAGAGGAAAGAAAAGCGAGAGGGAGAAGGTTTTTATACACCCGTGTGTTGGTGCGCGCTAGTCTGCTTTGGGAGCTAGTCCGCCCGGCGCCGCCAAAACACGCCCCGGCCAGGTCGGAGCAGCAACAGAAAAGAAGTTCCTCTCACTTCTCCACTGTATTTGCCAACCAGGCGGACCAGGAGAGATATCTACACGCGCGTATGGCTCCGTTACCTCGCCCAGCGGGCGCGAAGGCGAACCCCTCTCCCTTTGCTTCGTTTAATGTAGGTTGTCGTCGTCCTCGCACAGCGTTCTCGTTGCTCCCGCGGTGCCCTCGCTGACTTGATGCCTGTCTTCAGCCTCTACCTAGAAATGTCCCCGACAATACGGATATAATTGAGATCGATGATGACGATGATGATGAAGATCAGTCCATGGACGATGACCAACAGGACTTCGACGACGACGAGGAGATGGAAGAAGACCAAGAAGAGGAGGTATCGGAAGACGATGCTCCCATGGATGGCAGCGAGTCGCCGTTGGATCTAGGCACCGTCCCAAATGGTCACAGTATGTATACTTCACATCTGGGGATTTATCCAAGGCTGACCGCTTGCAGATGGCTATGATATGGAGACACCACAGCTGTTTACGTCGGCCGGTGCCCAACAAGCTTTACATCCCCTTCGTCGCACCGCGGACCGGGTGACGCGCCAAATCGAAGCCTTTGCCGAAAAGTTGGACCGCTTCAAGCAGCAGGGGAACCGCTCCGACGACTTCCAGAACTACCAGGCCGCCTACCAGCTCGTCAAGAGCTACCAGACTTTCGCGCAAGACGCCATCAACGATATCACGAAGCAGGACACCCTGAAACGGGCCAAGATGGGGTGGAGCTCCAGTCTGAGCAACGGGTCACCGGCGCGGGATCCCAAAACGGACGAGGAACTCCAACGACTGCAGCTGGAGGCAAACACCTGGCAGCTCCTTCTCAACCTCATCAGTATCGGCGATCCTCCGTCTCGCGCGAGGTCGAAGCAGGCCCAGGAGACCGCCTTTCAGAAGTTACACCGGTACTCGTCGGATCGCGAAGTTTGGGAACGGTTTCTGGAAGCCGACCACTATGCGATGGAATGCGTCATAGCGATGAAGTGGCTCGAACGGACCTCGCGATCGGCGGTGCTAGATATCGACTCGGTCATCCACGAACTCGAGACGCAAGCCGAGCGCGGGCAGAACCTATGGACAAACGGCTGGCTGTATACCAAAGAAACGATCAAGGGACACAAGCGACTACGAGCCTGGCCCCAACCCCTCGAGCCAAATGATCCAAGCATCACCGCCTCGCTTCTGAGCACGGAGAAATCGCAACCGTTGATCACGCAGCTGGACCCCGACGCCGTCGTTCGCCAGAAGCAGGGCTTACAGAAACAGGACCAGTTCTACGAGCGCGCCACGTGGATGACTTGCTGGAAGATGCTGCGACAAGGTGAAGACTGGACGAAGATCCGGGAGTGGTCCCGGGAGCGTCTAGAATGCTGGCGAGCAGTCAGCCTCTGCGGCTCCAGTGTCGACAAACATGCCCATGAGGAGCGCACCCCCGTCGACGACGGAACCACCCGGATGATGAACTGCCGGTCCCAAGAAGCCTGGCGGGCGGCCTGCTCCGCCCTTGCGCGGAACCCCAACAACGAAGACTTCGAGCGGGCTGTGTATGGCTTGCTCTGTGGCGAAACCGAGGCGGCCTTCAAGGTCTGTCAGAGCTGGGACGACTACCTCTACGTCTACTTCAACAGCGTCGTCCTGTCGCGCTACCGGGGATTCTGCACACAGCTGCAGCGGAAACTCAGCCACTCGCCTACGACCCCAGTGGCGTTTGTGCCCGAGGCAGCTGGATATGCCGAGTTCAACAAATTCGTCCAGTACACCCGGGGCAACCAACGCATCGGGGTCGAGGCACGCAACCCATACCGCACCATCCAGGCTGCCATCCTGGGCAAGGGGTACGATTCCTTCTTCCATTCCTTAGCCAAGGCCGTCTCGCACCTGGCAAACAGCCGAGCACCGGCCGACACCTTCATCCCCGAGCTGCCGTCAGCCGCTCTCGACGACTCCCTGCTGATTGCCGCCGAGGACCGCGACGCATTGCGGATTGCCTCCCATCTCTACATTCTCGCCAGCGCGTTGGGCTTTGTCCGTTCGGACTCCCATTTTGTGGAACTGGTGTCGGTCAACGTTATGGGGTACATCGCCGACCTAGAGGATGCGGGGATCTACGACATGATCCCTCTGTATGCGTCGATCTTACCAACGGCCCAGGCGCACTCGGTTCTGGGACAGGTATTGATCGACATCCTGGATCCGGCAGAACGGATGCAGCAAGTCCGACTGATGAAGAAATACCGGATCGATGTCGAAGCCGTGCTGCAAGACCAGTGGCGGTGGATCAGCTCGAGTGTCTCTTCGGTTGACCACTCACGTACCCTCCGAGGCTACCCCAAGGTGGTCCGTCGCAAAGACGGCACCCGTGAATTAGTACCGGTGAAGAAGGATTTCATCGGCACCGAGATCTCCAGCGGAGACGAGCGCCTCATCCGCAGTCTCGAATGGCTTCGATACGTGGATGGACAATGGGGACGGATCTGCCAGCTCGGTGCTCTGCTCTACCGGAAATTCTACAGTACGTCTTTGTGGGGACGTAGTTTGATTCATTACTGACAGGATTCTACAGTTGCCGGTAAACTCTCGGCGGCTCGCGAGCTCAGCCGACGCATGCGACTGTCTGATATCTCGCAGGAATCGTTTGGGTTTGACCTGACCGAATTTCCGGTGGTCGAGGACGAGGTCGAGCCGCTATCTCCCGAGCCGACCAGCCCGACCAAGGCGAGGATGCTAGGGTCTCACAAGCGTAATCAGTCCTCGCTGAACGGAGCGCCTCCTGGCGACCAGACGAACACGAACCTCCTGGTGCAACAAGCCCAAGGCATGCTTGACCTGGAGCAGTTGATCCTGGCACTCGATGCCCTGGAGCACTTTGCCTATGTGTGCGACAAAACCGACAAGTATGTCACTGCTTATTATGGCCCATGTACTTACTAGTTCCGTGCAGAACATGCTAACCTATGAACACAGACCCAAGCACCGACGAGACTCGGGCGCAATCAAAGACCTTCGAGGCGAACTGCAAGATGCACTGGACGAGATCGGCATGCACATCGACTCCATGCTCGACGACTGGCTAATCGTCGGCGAGAACGGTACGCAGCCTCACTCCACAAGCTCAGTCAACTCAACACTAACATGGTATCCTCACTCAACAGACGCAGAGCAAGCCGAGCTCGACGAAATCCGAACAACATACATCCCAGAAGTCTTCCTCGACTACCACAGCGCCCTGTACTACTCGGGACACATCCTCAGCAGCGATATCCTCGTGCAGTGCATGAACCTAGCCATGCAGGTCTCCGAGAACGAGTACCTCACGCGCAGCTTCGTGGAATCGCAACGGATGGCCGAGCTGGTCGACGCGTTGGCGCTCTCCAGCAAAGCCATGGTGAACACAGGCGCCCAGCCGGGAAAGAGGCTATTGGGAGGCGAGTCCCTGGGGATCTGGAATGTGCAGGTATCTGAGAATGAGGACGGGGGGGAGGAGTGAATCAGTGAGTGATTGAGTGGGAAATGTACATTAGCCAAGTTTTTTGAGTCTTGTCTTTGATCATTTCTTATTTTTACTTTTCCTACTTCTTATATTTTCCTTTTAATATTGTTTTCCTTGTCTGTTATTATCTATTGTCTGTTTTGATGGATTGCCATGTTTCTATCCCCGGCACCATCAAAACACGCCCGCATACCTATCTGGTTTGGACGCGATAATATCGATAGTATTAGTTGATTTATTTACTGGGGAGAAGAAAGGGAAGGAAAGGGCAGGGGGCGTTTGAGACCTCCACGCATTGACAAACAATGGATTATCAATATCATTAGAATAGGATCTTGCAGATTTTATCTCGCCACTGTGTAGTCGTACTTACATAGGTATATACGGTGTAGTATACGTATATAAATACGAGCATTAATACGCGAGGAGTAACCGAATAATCCCTCCCTTGAGAAAAACATGGATATGGATGATCGTGTGGCAAGTTAGACAGTATCAGCCAAACAGCCAGGAGATGAGAGAAGGAGAAGGTGGCAGTGTTCAATAGACTGACGGGTTACGGGGACTAGTCTTGGTAGTGGAGGGATTATTGGCGTGGCATAACTTAATACCTAAGGTTGGTAGGTGAGTAGGTACCTGGGCATTCGAGATGGCTGGCTGGGTGGCGGGTTGGCTGGCTGGAAGGTACAATACCGAGGTAGGGACTTCTTTATGGTATTGGGTACTATGATATTAGTTTGGTTTTGTTGTATATATACTATTTGTGGCTGGTAGGTAGGTAGTAGGTACAGAGTACGGAGTAGAGGTAGTAGGGTTTATCTATGATCGAGAATCACAATATATCATCTCAATGACAGAGTTCATAGATAATAGGAATAGTTGAACCCATTCAATAAGTTCCTAGAAAAGGTAGACAGATGTATAGAACGCATCCGTAGTGAGCCGGGCAGTTGTCTAGTCTAGGCAAATTGTGGCATGATGACTGGTACTGCATTGCTTGATGACCTTTCGATTAATCGATCAGGCCATGACGATGTATCAATCAATTACTCCCGTATACACTGTATCATCACAAGTGGCGAGCGAGGCGTACGGGTTGAGTCGGTGAGCGCATTCTACTCATCCATATACGAACACTTCATATTCGTGATAGAGGATGCTCCCCTTGTGAGCTGTCCGTCTTGGTCTGGTTGACCGCTTGGCTTGGACGCCAACGCTGACTGGAGCTCAGCTCTCCCGTTGGGAGCATTGGTCCAGCCACCGTTACTCACACTGCTTTGTTGGGTAGATACCAGTTGTGTCTGGAGGGTCGTGCCACTGTATTGGGAGGATCCATGGTGAGTAGGGTTAGGGTTGTTACACGCTGCGTTGGAGGGAGTGTTTTGCTCGGATGGCGACAGATGATCTACCTAGGATCTTTATTCCTTTTTCCCTTTTTTTTGTATTCATAGGTAGGAGGATGGTAGTCCCTGCGTCTGTAAGTGAAGATGAAATGTGATATTAATTATTGATGTTGTGACCGGTAGCAGAAGTAAGCCACAGCGCATGAGGTGAGGTCACGCACATGGTACAGGATGGACTTGTATATGGCGCAGGAAATATAAACAACTAGAAATTAAAAAAACGATGATCAGTGGGGACGGTACATCCGATATTAATTACTGAAGACTGCATGGTTCTGGATTGTCCTCACACTTTACTCCGGTATAGAGTACACTATATGAGACATTGGCTTATTCTAAGTGGCAGTATAGACGGGGGATGTCCGATTCTCCGTCCATCTTCCATATGGTCTTCCAGTCAAATGGATGAATAGATGAATAACGGCCAGACCCCAAAGCCAAAACCGGATGGAGCACCGCCCCTTTGCCAAGTCATTCGGGGATCGCAATTTACATAAGTCTGTCCCTCCATGCATAACAACCCTGTCCTAGTCTCTTTCTCTTTTGGTCGAGATATCCACTTGACCGTTCTTCATTGGACTGCAGAAGCGATTGGTAGGATTTATAGTTGGAGAGATGAAGTGTTTACGAGGTTCAAGGTTCATTCTCCCGAGTTGACAGCTGGGTTGCTTTCAGGGCATCGATACCCAAAGAGAGGCCGAGAGCCCTGGATTGGGTACTAGAGTTTGTTGAGCCTGTTTGCGTGTTTGGGCGTCACTTGGGGACGACACGGAATTATAGGGTTGGTGAAGAAAACAGGGAAGATTTCTTCCCATTAGCTGGCCATTACGTAGACTTACCTTTTCCAGGTTTTTTGATATTAACTGGTTTCACTGGGCGTGACCAACAAGAGGCAAAACTGGATTGACATCTTGAACAATATTGAGAAATATTATTGAAAAAAAAATCTCAATCCTAACAGGAAGCCAAAAAGGAGGGTTAGTGACGGGTCCAGAAGGAGGCAGTGCAAAGCGGGAATGACGAGTGAGGTTGCAGCATCTCCGAGCTCTGCAGGTCCAGCTCCATGTCAACCCTGGAAGCACACCAGATGGTATAATAGTATAATATAAAACAGTAAGATAAATACTCATAAATCAATATAAATTTATAGAATAGAATCATTATAACACTTACACCAGACAGACATGAATCTGTAGACACTCCTTTCCCTTTGTATACTCCGTACTAGATCAGAGCTATAATCCATGGAACGTTCCATAACGCTTCGGTGTATCATCCATACCGATTCCTGGTATGGTCTGCAAGGAGACCTTGCAGCTCTTTCCACCCCCCGCAGGCAATCGGTGATACTCAACGTGGTACATCAACTGCGGCTGTGAATGGTTTGATTTGGATTGGATTGGAATTACCCGTGGATTCTATATATTATATATTCTCTAGACCAGACAGAGGACCTGGTATGTCGGTATCAATAATACAGACGCAACCGTCATAAATTACCGACTACGGCAGAAACGGGAAGACTAAAGAACTTCCACCCACTAGTCCGGGGACTCGTGAATGGGACGAGATCTTCAACTTAGACTATCTTCCTGTCCGAGTAACCTTCACTCTTGCACACACTCTCTCTCTCTCTCTTCTCTCTTCTCTTCCCCTCCCTTATTCCCCCCAATCGATTCCCCCTCAGTCCGTATGGAACAAGTCATATGATTGGGTGAGTTGGTCCTCTTCTGTTCTCCCTCACGCTTCATACATGCCTCACTCCACTTGCCATGGAGAGATCGTCATCTTCCCTCTCGAGACTTCCTTCGACTTCCAATCATCGCCGTCAGGGCTAACATGTTTTAGGTGCCTCGTGTCCCAGAATTGGCATCATCACCGTTGGCCGTACCACTCTCTCCTCACGCGGACCGGAACCGCGTCCTTGTAGCTGGTTTCCTCCGTTGCATCGACTCAGGGTCCCTGGAGCATTTCTCAATCATTTTCCCTTCCCCGGCCCCAATTCGACCCGGCGATCTCAGACGCTCTGCATTTGGTGACGTCTGATAAATAAAAACACCGACCTGGACGGCACTCGCTCCCATCGATGGGGCCTTTTCATTCTCCGCCAACCTCGCGCGTGTCTCCGCTAAACGCTTCTTCATGGACAGGAAGTTTGGTGATCTAATCCTCACAAGAGACTGTACAGGATATCGAGCGCGACATTCCTCCCAATCGTGCATCGTCGCCGTTTGCTCTGGAATGATCGCTGTGGCCCTTCCCTTTATCCCCCCACCCCGCCTCTCGATTTGATAAAGCGGCAAGGTGTACTTGACCTGCTCCTTCCGGGGCTACATTCTTATTGATATCCATATCCCTTCCTCCTCCTTTCTTCTCCGCCCTCGCTAGACCCACCTTTCCCCCCCCCCCCCCCCCCCCCCCGGGATCATTCTATCCCTTGGACGATCATGTCGGATTCCAGATCCGATGGGACGAATTCCGTGCACCCGGCCTCTCCCACCACTCCTCTCCGACGGGAACGGGCCCCAACGATCACCATCGACACCTCCGCCGTGACCACCTCCGATCAGAATGAGCACCCGCCCCAAGTCGTCTCCCGCCCATCATTGCAGACCTCCGACAGTGCCGACGCGAATGATACGAGTGCCCTGCTAAACGGCGGGAGTGTTTCGCCCTCGGACGGCCGTTCGCAGGCCTCCATCCGCTCCTTCACTTCGTCCGAGCCGCGCGACCACGAAAGCAGACCGACCTCCCCGCACAACGTCTCCTCGCCCACGTCGAAGATGAACGAGCCCACGACCAATTCCAACTACCTGGCCGTCCCCGGCGCGAGATCGCGCGGCAATTCGTTGGAGTCCGACGGCACCACCCCATCCTCGAGCTCTTACGGCGGCGACACCTACGTCAACCCCGCCTCGCAAGGATCGCACGCTGACTTGGGCAAGGATGCGCTGGTCAGTGACGAAGAAGCCCTCACCCCGGACCCGGGGCGAGAAGCCGAGTTCGAGGTCGAGGACAACCGGTTTGCCTTTTCGCCCGGTCAGCTGAACAAGCTCCTGAACCCCAAGAACTTCAGCGCCTTCCACGCGCTGGGAGGCATCCGCGGACTCGAGAAGGGACTCCGCACCAGCCTCCGCAGTGGCCTGAGCTGGGATGAAACCGGGTTGGACGGGGCGGTGAGCTTTGATGACGCGCTCTCTCAGGCCTCCGGGCCCAACTCGCCGCCCAAGTCGGATCCGCCACGGCCCCCGACCCGATCCGACACGACTCCCGCGAAACGCGCCGAGAACGCCTTTACCGATCGACGTCGCATCTACGGTGAAAACAAGCTGCCCGAGAAGAAATCCAAGTCCATCTTCGAGTTGGCATGGATCGCGTACAATGACAAGGTCCTCATCCTGTTGACGATTGCGGCCATCATCTCGCTCGCGCTGGGAATTTACCAATCGGTCACGGCCAAGGGTGGAGAAGCGCGGGTGCAATGGGTGGAGGGCGTGGCCATCATCGTGGCCATCGTCATCGTGGTGATCGTGGGTGCCGCCAACGACTGGCAGAAGGAGCGCCAATTTGTGAAACTGAACAAGAAGAAAGAGG